ACCTACTGTCTGGGGCAGGGGAGAAGGGTGGGGACACGTGGAGGCCCAGCCGGCTCCGCTCAAGGGTCCAGAAGGTCACTGCAACCTCGCAGGCCGCCCTTGCCGTGCAACAATAAAACGCCAGCTAGCTTCCCCGGTCGAGGGTAGACTACGGAATAGGCAGTTTACTGCCAGATCGCACCTCGAGCCCGGCCAGAGAGATAAGCGGCGATCAGATCGTCCTTTCTCTGTAAATATGAAACTCCAACTGGGCTTCTGTTTCAACCCTCCACCCCCACCCCTGAAAAAAAAAGGTACATTCTTTTAGGAGCATCAGTAGTCCTGCATGGTAGCACTGTAGCACTGTCCTCCCGTTGTTCATTGATTTGCTCGAGCGGCCACCAATAACGTCTCCATGGTGAGACTCGTTGTTACTGTTTTTTTGGCATATTGAATATGCGATGCAGAGCTTTGCCAGGCTCTGCCGCGCGGGTGGGATACTCTCGGTAGCTTGCTGGGCTCTCCGAGAGGATAGAGGAATCGAACCCGGGTCGGCTGCGTGCAAGGCAAATGCCCTACCTGCTGTGGTATCACTCCAGCCCATCATTAGTCCTAGAACTGTGATTTCAGCATGGACGGTGCTTATTCGGGATGATATTTTTTTCAGTGATGGGTAAGTGGAACCCCAGTTTGACATATCAAACTGGGCTCCCTTAAGGTCAGCTCAGGTTGGTCCGTGGTGGAGCTGGCTCTGCCCCTTGGCCAGACGGGATGGACCAGGGGATTACTGTAGGAGAGGTCGCTTGTCCACTGCTCTCCAGAGCAGGGATGCAGATTTACTGTCACAGCCATGGAGTCAAGGTACAGGGAAAGGAACCTCAAAGCAAGATAACTCGCTGCCCTGACCTTTCTCCCCAGAAGCGATCCACCCCTCCCGAGGACTAGCCCGGTGCCTTGGGAGGTCCTTGGAACTTTGACTACAATATCTCCTCACGCTTGAACACCCAGCCTGAGAGTGCCCCACCACTCACCCAATACCCTTTCATTTTCAATCACCTTCATTTCTCTCTGCGCATCTGATCCTCACAATGCCTTTGTTGTTTTCAGTGCTGAGCATCAAATCTTGGCCTCCTGCATGCCAGGCACAGCCCTCTGATGGCAACAGAACCAATAAAAACTACCAGGTTTGGGCCGGAGCAATAGTACAGTAGGTAGGACACTTGCCTTGCAAACCTGTATGCTCCTGAGCCTGCCAGGAGTGATCCTGAGGGCAGAGCCAGAAGGGAATCCTGAGCACTGCCTGTAGTGGCCCAAAACAAACACAAAATAACCTACCAGATTCCTGTGTCCTGATGGACACATGGCAATTCCTAAAGCAAGAATTCCTCACCCTCAGGGCTGGAGCGATAGCACAGCAGGTAGGGCATCTGCCTTGCATGCAGCCTACCACATTTGATTCCCAGCATCCCATATGGTCCCCTGAGCACTGCCGGGAGTAATTCCTGAATTCCTGAGTGCACAAGGCAGGAGCAACCCCTGTGCATTGCTGGGTGTGACCCAAAAGGAAAAAAAAAGAATTCCTCACCCTCACCTTCAAGGTTCATGATTCTCCTGCAAAGACTTGGCTGTTCATATCTCCAAGCCTTTATTCAGATCTTCCCTCCGTTGGAGAATTCTTTGCTGCTACCCTAATTCCCTCCATCTCTCTCTGGGACGGGGCACATTTGCCAGTGCTCAGAGCTTACACCTCACTCTGCGTTCAGGGATCACTCTCCTGGCAGGGCTCAGGGACCTTAGGAAGGGTGACAATCAAACGCCATCTGCAGTGTGCAAGGTTGGCACCGATTCACTGTAGTCTCTGTTCCTGTAGTTTTCTCTTTAGTAAAGCACCAGTGAGACTTCTCACTGGGGAGCCTTTTGGAAAGCACAGCTGCCTTTTCCATCCTTGATGCGCACAGCCTCCACCCACAGCTCCGGGACCTTACCCTGTGGTTGAGGTTGACGTCATCATCTGTTGATATTTGTTTTGTGTGTTTGGGGAAGCCACACCCAGCAGTGCTCTGGGGCCACCCTTGGGCTCAGTGTTCAAGGGTTGCTCCCGGCAGTGTGGGGGTCGGGAGTGGGGCATGTGATTTGGGGGATAGAACCCAAGCTGCCAGCATTGCAGGCATATCCCTACTGCTGAGCCAGACTGCCCAGATTGGCTCCCACCCTACCCCCATGTTTGGATTCTTGTTTGGTTTGGGCCACACCTGGCAGTGCTCTGGGCATCCTTCTGGCTCTGTGTTCAGAGATCACTCGTGGCAGGATTTGGGGGGAACCACATGCGGTATCGGGGATTGCACCTGGGTCAGCTGCAGGCTAGTAAAGCATCCTCCCGGTTGTACTGTCTGGCCCCCACATTTGAATTCTTAACAGTCAGTTCAATATACCCACAATCGGTACTGGTTTGGAAGCCAGAGAAAATGAAGGACCTAGATGACCATGTGATGCAGCAGGCAGTGAGGCGTGTGAAGGTGGATGTGGGGGCTTCAGACCCACAAAGCCCCTTCTCTGTTCTTGGAGCAGGGCTCTAGAGATCAAACCCGAGAGGGACCTGACAAATGGAGCTTCAGAGGGTCACCCTATGGGGGCTGGAGCGATAGCACAGCGGGTAGGGCGTTTGCCTTGCACATGGCCGACCCGAGTTTGATCCCTGGCATCCCATATGGTTCCCTGAGCACCGCCAGGGGTAATTCCTGAGTGCAGAGCCAGGAGTAACCCCTGTGCATTGCCGGGTATGACCTAAAATGCAAAAAAAATAATAAAATAAAAATAAAAGAAGGTCGTCCTAGGCCTGCTGAGTATCCCCTTCCCACCAGCAGTCGTGGGCGCCTTCTCATGGTTCCCAGCATTTCTTCCAAGTGGGAAGGTCAAATCCAAGATGGGCATCATGAGGCCCTAGTGCCTGGGTCTCTAGAAGCCAGAACCCTAGAGACCTTCACTCTGTGGGTGGGAGACAAGGGGTACACTGGCACAAAAGGGGGTGTGTGAAGCCCCTGCAGCCAGCTGCCCCACCTGGCTGGACCAGAGGACAGGGGGCTGGCACCAAGGTAGTGTTCTGGAGCTGGAGATACTCCAAGAGCATCAGGCACTTGCCTTGCATACTGCTGGCCCCCAGTTCTACCCCCAGCACCACACAGAGTCCCCCAGAGAAAGCCCTGAGCACCCCTCCAGGTGTGGCCCCAACCTCCCCCCTCAAAAAAAAAGGTTCCTTCCTCATAGCCACCTAAAACAGGGTTCCTCCCTTCCGGCTACCCTTCCAGACAGGAGATGCTCTCATGCAAACAATGGTTGAGCCCCGCCGGTCCTTCCCCAGGCTTTGCTCCGGTCTGGTCTTTCCAGGTTCTTTCCTGAGTCACCCCATCGTATCTTCATTCATTGCATCCCTCCTAAGTCCACACTGCAGAGCAGACTGTGGGAAGGAGGCAGTCCCCACTGCCCTCACCGGGGTGCCTATGTTCAAGCCCTGAAAAGCCCCAGTGGGCAAAAGCGGAAAGAGAGACGGGAGACAGAAGCCCCGACACGGTTTTTTCAGTATGCAAGTGTTTTTGACTCCACAGCCAGGCGCTTAAACTGAGACATCAAGGGCAGCCAGGATACACGCCCAAATGCAATAGTAAAGGCAGACATGAAATAAACCACACAGTACCAGGAACCCCAACAAAACCCACAACTGAACACCCCAAATCCCTCAAACTTTATATATAAAGTTGTAAAAATTAAAAAAAAGAACAACTGTTCAAAACCAACTGGGCAGTATGGTGGGCTGGGAGCTGTCCTACAGCAGGAGGACTGGCACTTGCCCCCCTCCAGGAACAAAGAACAAACACAATACAAAGAAAAGAACCCCCAATGCTCACATGGGTCAGGAGTCGCCAGAGAACAGATTGTCCCATCCTCAAACTGGTTGCTTTTTTTTTGTTTTTTGTTTTTTTTTTTATTTTTTGCCTTTTTTGGTGTTTTTTTTTTGTTTTCCATTTTCTTCTTTTGTTGTTGTTATTTTAGCACCTGTACAATAAAACTGTACCATCTCCAACCAGAGCTGGACCCAAATGGAGGCCCACCTGCCTTTGGATGGCACTGACTCTCTAAAGGATTGTTCGGAAAAATAGCCATTGGTAGAAAAATAAGAGCAAGAACGGGAAAGACAATGCCACAGGGGAGCAGGGACGAGGGGCGGCCCAGTCCCCCCACCCCTCTCCCTGAACCAACCAGGCAGGCCAGAAGGAAGGGCGGCCGGCACCCCTCATTCACTCAGCTCCCTGCTCCCTGGGCAGAGACCCCCCCAAGTCTCCTAGGAAGCAGAAGCAGCCTGGCCGTTTATCCATGGGCCCTCAGCAGATGCTGAAGGCAAGTGTATGTGGGCGGTGGGGGGGCAAAGGGAGGATAGAGAGAAGGGAAAGGGGTGCTGGGACCTGGCAAAGGCCGCGGCCAAAGGCTGTTGAGTGGACAGTTTGGTCTCCGGCAAGGATGAGGCCAGATCAGGGCAAGGTGGCTAGGCACAAGGGGAGGGTGTGTGTGTGAGAGAGGGGATTGCAGGCACGAAGCCGTCCTGTGCACTCTGTGGGGGGCAGGGGGGGAGAACGAGGTCTTTGGGGGACAACAATGGTGTGCAGGGCCAGCCTCAGTTCGCCTCTCTGAAGAGGACCGTCCTGTCCCTCCGCCCCTCCCCTACCCAGCAAGTCTGCTGTGCAGGAAAGGGGTGAGGGGACCTGGGGGTGGGCGAGCACCAAAGCCTGAGGATCTTCCCTCACTCCCCAGCCCTGTGCCAGCACCAACCAGCTGTACGAGTCCTAAGTTGGGCCCCACCCGCCTTTCCTACCCAGTCCCCAACAGAAGGAAAGAAAAAACACCCCTAGGAGTCGCTTTGGGGTGGTGAGGGAGCAGCTCCATGGGCGGGGCGTATGAAGGAAGGAAGGAAGGAAGGAAGGAAGGAGAAATAGAGAGAGAGAAGGAAGGAAGGAAGGAAGGAAGGAAGGAAGGAAGGAAGGAAGGAAGGGGCCGAGAACCCCTCCAGACAACAGGTTGTCTCAAAATTGTCACAGTGATACAGACTTCTCAGAAACCAATGAAACAATACAAATTAAATACTAATAAAATAAATACTATGGAAGACAGAAGAACACAGGGGAACAGGGAGGGGGTGGGGCACTCGGAGATTTGGGCTTTTCTTGGCTCTCGTCTGGCCAGGTTGTGGCCAGTGTGGGGCCCTGGGCCCGGGCTGGGCCACATCCACACCCTGACGCCGCCACCCCCCCCTCCCAGGAACTCGCGTCCTCGGGCGTCGAGTCCCACTTTCCACCCCCATCACCCAACACAACAATAACGATAAAGGGGATATGAGAAGGAACTGGAAACTCCCCTCCCTCCCCTCCCCCAAATCCAGTCATTAGCTAATGCTGGCATTGATAAGGCGGCTTCTTGTTGGTCCAGATTATTGCCTCATTCTGCGGTCTGGTGCTCGGTTGGGGGGGGGGAATGGGGGCGCTTGGGTGGAGCCGGAAGCCGCAGGCGGGCTGGGTCCCGTCAGCTGTTGGAAGACTGGAACTCCACCTCGGAGCCCAGGAGGCGCAGGAGCTCAGGCTCATAGCGCACCAGCTCCACGGACTCCGACGGGCAGGCGGCGCGGGTGTCCAGGACCCCTGGCCACTCGGCGGGGGTCAGCAGCTGACTGGCCGACACCTGGCGGAAGAACTCCGACTTGGGCAGGGTGGTGATTTCAAAGTGCGGGAAGCGAGCCTGGAAGATCCGCGAGGATAACTTCAGCCGCTTCAGGACGTCGGCGAAGAGAAACCAGTTGCAGGGCCTGGAAAGGGCGAGAACGGGGTGGACGTCAGGGGGAAACAGGAAGCAGGAGCCGGCTCCCTGCATACCCACCAGCCTAGGTCTGAAGGCTCCTGACCCAGCTAAGGTCCACTAAGCTACAGGATATGTCGGGTGGGTCTGAGGTGGCAGCTTTTTTTTTTCTCTGATCGTCCCATCCTGGTGGGCTCAGCTTTTTACTTCCAGGACCCTGCCAACATCGTCTTTTGCGGGGAGGCAGTTTGGGACACTGGGAGACCCTATGCTGTGCCAGGGACTGAACCCGTGTGCAAGATGAAACGCATTCCAGCCTGTATGTATTGTCTCTCCACCCTCCCCACTTTGCAGCCAACCTGCCGGGGCCTCTCCCCCAAAGGGGAAAACAGGAGAGAAATGGGTTTTCCAGAATATAAAGTTCTTAGCACATCTTAGCAGAAGCCCCCCTGCCCCTGCCCTGAGGGTTCAGCAGGCACCCTGTGACCTGGAACCACCATCTGCTGGGATGCAGGTCTCCCCTGCGCGCACACACACTGGCAGGACCCCATGCCAAGCCCAGCTGGTTTCCTTTTCCTGTTCTCCCTCCAGCTCCCCCAGTCTTCCTCATTCTCCTTCTCAGGAGTTTCCCCAGCAGAGGGGCTGCCGGGCAGAGAGGCCCGCACTGTGGGTAATCAGAAAGGCATTTTGCTCCGGCTCTGGAATGCATTAGGCAGAGTTGCTTCTCCCCGCGCCCAGCAGGGCTCTTTGGCAGGCCCCAAGCTCACATTACAGCCCTGTCTGACAGCCCAGCACACCCACCCGACGGCTGCAGCCCTGGGGACAGCTGGGAGGGTGGTGGCCGGGGCCAGGCAAGAGCCCACCACCTCTGACTTGCACGGCTGTGGCCCCTCTTTCCTGAGCTTGCCCGGCTCACTGTCCCATGCTCCCACTTGCCAGCTGTGTTCCCCTCTGGGCCCGACCAAACTCGATGGCATTTGCCTCCGAACGGTGTTTCTCTCTGCAGGAGTTGCTCTCCTGTACACCGGTCCTGCCCTCTGTTTTCTAAACACCCAACCTGGCTCTGACACCCCTTCCCTCCAGAGTGTTCTATGGAGCCCTGCTACTTCCCACCCCCAAGCCCCCAAGTTCTTGAAGCAGAATGGTATTCAAGACCTTTGCCCAATACTGGACACCACTCAGGACTCTTCAACCTACTCTTCCCCCATCTCTAGCACACACATGCGCGCACACAACGCCAGCCCACAAGGGCCCCTGTTTTATGAATGTATGTCTCGATGTCTCTGCTCACACTGTGTTCCCACTGCTCTTGAGTCCATCTCCAATACCAGATCACCCCAGACACCTCCACTGTCTTGCCCTGCTGAGCCGCCCATCAGCCCCATGTTTTGTGTCTCAAGGCACCTAGCTCATGCCCCCTCCCCCACTTTATCATTTTCTAGTTTTTGGCTTTGGGGTCACACCCGGCGGTGCTCATGGATTAGTTCTGGCAGTGCTCAGGGGACCATATGGGATGCTGGGGATCGAACCTGTGTTGACCAGGTATAAGACAGGCACCCTACCCACTGCACTCTCTCCAGCCTCATTTACTTCGAAGACCATCTGCTCTCAGGGTACATCTGTTTGTCAGTCTCTGAGACTGGAAAGACTGGCAGCTAGGACCTTGTAACGGCCTCTCTGAGTGCTGAAGACCTGCTGATGGAATTCAATGTTCTGTACCTGAAACTTCCAGTCAGACCCACCACTCTCAGCGTGCCCAGTGCCAGGTTTCTCTGAGAAGACAGCAACCGTGGTCATCCCAGCCACTCAGGGGCTAGTGAGTGGCAGGGTCAGAGAAAAGAGGCACTACAGGCACACAGGTCATCGCTTCCCAAGAACAGAACCCAACCCTTTCGAAGATCAGCACTGCAGAGCTGGATCCGAGCTGGCCGTGCTGAAGAAGGCACTATTTGGGTTTTGGTTTGGGGGGTGAGGGTGTCACAAACAGGCGATGCTCAGGGGTTACTCTTGGCTCTGTAATCATAAGTCACTCCAGGCGGTGCCTGGGGGACCGTGTGAGATGGTGGGTATTGAACCTGGGGTCGGCAGCATGCAAAGCAAGTGCCCTACCCACTGTATTATCGCTTGGGCCAGAAGGCACTTTTGGAACCCCACTGGGTCTCTGGAGTTGTCATGCACTCTCTCCTTACGTTTGGAAGCACATGCATTTGCACATCAGGATTACAGCTCCAGGGAAGAGCTGATGCAGGAGCGGTGCCCAGCCTGGAGGAGTCAGGGATGCCAGTTCTGCCAGCATGGGGCACTCAGCAGAGAACCTGCCTCCTGCCTGGCTTGCAAAGTGGCACAGGGCCCCGGGGTTGCCCAGCAGTTCTCCGCACCTAAAGCTCTCTGCTCTGGGTCCTTAACTGCCCAAGATCCTGTTTCAGAGGAGGAGGTGCTGAATGTTGGGGAGGAATTAATTAAGCATGCAATACTATATCCCAGAGGCCTTGCCCCGCCCTTGGGGATCAGCTTCTGCCCAGAAGAATAAGGACCCCGAAAACCCCTGAAACTCGATCCTGCCTAATGTCATCGTATCAGCTATTTTTACTCTTATCTGGCCAGTGTGTGTGTGTATGGGGGGGGGGGGGAAGGTCTCGGCTGTGAATCTTACCACTAAGGGTCTTGCCTATAAGGCCCTAAGCAACTAACCAGCCCCTCTTCTCTCTTGTGTGCTGCTCGCTTTCCTTCTTCAAACCTTTAAGATCTATGTTTTCCCCCTTTTCAAACGGGTTGTGAAGGAAAAGTCTCCTTAAAATTGGTTGCCCACCACAACACCCAAAAGGAGAGAGAGAACAGAGGGGAATGCCCTGCCACAGAGGCAGGGTGGGATGGGGGGATGGGCGGTGGGAGGGATACTGGGATCCGTGGTGGTGGGAAATGGGCACTGGTGGAGGGATGGGTATTTGATCATTGTATAATTGAAACCCAAGCACAAAATTTGTAAGTCTACAACTGTACCTCATGGTGTCTCACCAATAAAAAAATAAATAAATAAAATGGTTGCCCAGAAATGAGGATGCCCAGAGAATGGAATGGATGATTAAGGTAAACAAAGGACAATGGACCAGAGAGACAGTTCAGGGGATAGGGCTCTTGCCTTGCATGCAGCCAACTGGAGGGGTTTGATCTCAGCATTGTAGGGGCCCCTAAGAAGCACTAATCCCTGAGCACAGAGCCAGGAATAAACCCTGAGCATAGCCAGGTATAGCCCAGAAACCAAAATGAAGAAATGAAGGATAACACCCACCTCAGTCTCTTCCTACCCACTGGCGCTTCATGCTGCCTGTCACTCTCCTCCTTCTGCTGAAGCCAGACAAGAAACCCCTGCACTCCCAACCTTGCAGGCTGCCCAACTCTCTCCTGAAGCCCCCAATAAAGATTAGATTGGGTTCAGGCAAATGTTAAGTGTCAGGTAGATTCTGGCCTCTGCAAACGCATGATCCCATTATAATATGCACGGTAATATGAGCTAAGAGGGCTGCTGCCGTCATCTTGCGAACATTAAGGCTCTGAGAAACCAGGCTGTGGATTACTTAAAGACCCCGGTGGCCCACAGCTATGGCAACCATATGTCCTGGCTTTTTCAAGAATCTCCATTTCAAATATTCTGTCTGGCTGTCCCAAAAATCACACAGGCGCACACACACAAATAAATGCTTCCAAGCTTCTAAAGATCATCAACCCGCTATTGCCCTGATTATCTCTTATAAGCACCCACCCCCGGAAACTGCACCAGAACCCTGCAGAGCGAGAATCTGAATCTTGTGGTTCAGGAAACACATGGAAGTGAACTGACAGCCTCTCTTCAGCCAATGACAAAGCTGCACCTGGGTCGTGCCCGCCCAAGGCTTTCTCTCCCCCAAATGGCTGCCAAATGGAGAGCCCCGCCCCTTGTGGAGAGGCGGGCAGAGGGTTGCCAGGATCCTGGCGCTGGGTCCCCTAGGCCTCCGACACTTACCCACGGGACACCGACACTTGGAGGTTGTAGCAAGGGAGAAGAGGCTTGTCAGAGAGCTCGAACATAAAATCGTCGTCTTCTCCGTTATCCCCTTCATGGTCCGAGCTCCCAGGAGGATTTTGAAGGAGGTCACAGGCGAATCCCTCTTTATCCTCTGCCAGGAGAGTCCACGGGTGGGAATTAGGATGGAGTGACATGTATAGGACCAGAAAAAAACCAGAAATGCTGGGAAAGGGGACACAGCATTTGCCTTGTATGAGGCCGACCTGGGTTTGATCCCTGGCATCCCATGTGGCCCCATGAGCACCACCAGGAGTAATTCCTGAGTGCAGAGCCAGGAGTAACCCATGAGCATCGCTGGGGGTACAGAGGGTAGGTAACCCAAAAAGGCAAAAAAAAAAAAGAGAGAAAGGGGCCAAGATCAACAACAGATCAGAAAAAGAGCTGGAGGCCTAAGGCTACTGATGCCTAAGGAGTCCAGAAAGTTCTAGCCTCTGGAAGGAAGTGTTCGGTGGCCAGAGATTCCTTAGACTCCTGTTTTCTTCTTCTTTTTTTTTAGTTTTGGGGCACACCAGCAGTGTTCAGAGCTTACTCCTGGCTCTACACTCAGGGATCACTTCTGGTGGCCCTGGGGTGAAAGGAATTGAAGCTGGGGTGGCGGTGTGGAAGGCCAGCGCCCTTCCCACTATACTATTGCTCCAGCCCTTCTCCACCTTTCAAAGGGCACAAGGCGGGGTGGTGGGAAGGATTTTGGGAGAGGGAATTCAGACGATACTAGCAATGAAGGGCCGGGGGAAAACCAGCTTTCCCCAAACTGCTGCAACTGCCTCTCCTCCAGGCTCCTCAAGGACTCTGAAGGGGTCCCGCTGAATCATGCCTCAGCTGCCTGCTGGCGAGAGTCTGTTCCGTCTCATCACAGCATCCCAAGCTGCAGTGCCCCCACATTGGGGTGCGCATCTCCCTCTTTGGGGTGGGCATCTGCGGCCCCTGTTCCATGGGTACACGTTAGCCGCCACTTCTGGATGGATGGGGGCTGGGTAGAGATGGAGTGACAGCTGCCAGGGCAAGGGGCGAACTCCCCTCCTGAGTGTGAATGCCATGAGAGGTGACACGGGCACAGGAGCATCTGGCCAACTTAGAAGAGAACAAAGGAGGAGAAATGGAAAACTGAAGAGTTTCCCTAATTTTCTTCAGGGGGAGGGTGGGCCACACCGGGCAGTGCTCACGGCAGCATCTGCCTGGGGTGCTGAGGCTGGAGCTGGAGTCAGCTGCATTCAAGGCAAATGCAGCCTTAACCTTAACCCTCATCCTCTCAATCTGGTCCCCAAAGAAAGTGAGGATTTAACAGGGTGGGAAGGCCAGAGACGTGGTTCTACAGCAGCAGAGCACTCGCCTTGCCAGTGTGAAGCGTAGGTTCATAGCCCCACACTATGTAACAAAGATGGGGGTGAGAAGGGGCTGGTGACGGATGGTTCTGTCTGAATCAGCGGCATCTTCCATTCTCGGCCAGCGAGTTGAGTGTGAGGACAAGCTGAGCCAGGAATAAGGCTAAAAGGATCTCTTATGGGCCATAAAGACAATATAGGGGTTAATCCACTTGTGGTGCATGGAGTTTGAATCCCCAGTGCCACATATATTCTGCTGAGCACTACCACAGGTCACTCCTGAGCACAGTGTCCTGAGCACTGCAAGGTATGGCCCCCAAATACCCTCCTCCCCAACATAGTCTGCCCAACCTAGCTGCCAACAGGTGAAAGGTTATGTCCCCAGGTCCAGTAGTCTCTTTGAGAAGACTCAGTGAACTCTAAACAAATCTCACTTTGTTGTTGTTGTTCTTTTTGGGTCACATCCTGCAATGCTCAGTGTTTACTCCTGATTCTGCACTCCTGATTCTGCACTCCTGGCGGTGATTGGAGGAGCATATGGGATGCTGGGAATCGAACCTGGGTCGGCCGCGTGCAAGGTAAACACCCTACCCTCTGTGCTATTGTTCCAGCTCCGAAATCTCACAGTTTTGAGTCAAAGACAAAGGTATGAAGAAATCCATTTCCAACTTACCCAGCACAGAACTGCTATAAAAGTCCCAGGATACACCAGGATCACCCTCCGCCCGGCCCTGAAGATCTGAGAGGTGATCTGGAAGGGAGAAGAGAGAACAGTGAGAAAAGGGGGCACAGGGGGAAGAACCGAGGAGCACAGCACCCATCTATACAGGGAACAAAGGAAGGAATGTGTCCGCCATTGGCCAGAAGGTGGCCAGTCAGTTGCTGGGAGTCAAATCTAGGCCACTTTGTCCCCTGTGGTTCATCAGGCCCAGTGTTTTAAGTTTTTAAAAATTGAACTAACTTCAACCAATTTAAACATAGCGTGATCTGACAGTGAAAAATCTGGATTTTCAATTTCTCTCAGGGGAAAAAACAATCAGTGGATCTGCCAAGTCCATGGCCACATTCCAACATGTCAACAGTTGGTCAGAGAAGAGAGACGACATGTATGTCTCCCCCACTAGTGATCCCCTCCCACCCCAGTCTGTCTGTACACTTACCTGATCAGCTTTGGAGGCACGCAGGTCTAAGGCGCTGGCTTTTACTTATCATTTGGGTATTGGGGCCACACCCAGCAGTGTTCAGGGGCTATTCCTAGCTCTGAGCTGGTGGGGTGGGAGACTGCACGGGGTGGGGAGTCAGCCACAGACAAGGTAAGTGCCCTCTCGGCTTTTCTCTCCTAGCTGACCACCAGTTAGCAGAACTGTTTCATTGATCAGCCCCACATGGACAAAACTCACAGGGTTTTTGGATAAGGTTTTCTGTTTGTTTGTTTTGGGGGGACCATACCCAATGAGGCTCAGGGCTTACTCCTGACTCTGCAATTGGGGATCACTCCTGGTGGTGCTCAGAAGACCTTATGGGATGCCAAGGATTGAACCCCGGTCAGCTATGTGTGTGGCAAAACGCCCTACCCGATGTACTTATTTACACAGCTGAAGGCAACTTGATTATTTTATACAATGAAACAGCTACCTTCCCTTGTTGTTGTGACTCTGCCTAGTTGCTCATTCTTGGTGAGTTCTGCCAGAAGGGTCAAGAAGTCGGGATGGAGAGATCTACCTATAAGGTGCACCCAGAGATGGTTCCTGGTAGGGATTAGGAGATGCTATATACATAGGTGTTAGGGGTGGGACCTGGGTCAGTTTGAGTTGCACCTGGCTGACCCAGGTCCCACCCCTAACACCTATGTATATAGTGTCTCCTAATCCCTACCAGGAACCATCTCTGGGTGCAAAGTCAGAAGCCTTGAGCACCTCCAGGTGTGGCCCCAAACCTAAAATGAATTAGAAAAGCCAAAACCAAAACAAAGGTGGGGAGATAGCCCAATGGGCTGAATGTATGCTTTGACACTGGTTTGTTCCCTAGTACCACATGGTCGCCCCAGCATTTAGCCAAGAGTGGTCACCCAAGCACTGCTGTGTGTAGTACCCAGCCCAAACAAAGGGAAAAGAGAAGGAAGTGTGACCACACAGAGCTCCCTGCTTCTGCAAAGTTCCTGCAGCCAAGAATTCAGCAAATTAGAGTGGAGATAGGTACCAATCATGCACTGAGGTCTGCAATGCTGTCTGCACCCAACATGTAAGGCTGTTCTTTCCTCATCACTTTCCCCTAGGCAGTGCAATTATCACCACCACATACACAGCACTGACACTCTATTTGGTATTGCCAAGTCATCTAGAAAGGACTTGGAACCATGGCTTCCAACCTCCCATCTGCAGAGTAGCGTGAAGCTGCAAGTGTGAAAAGGGGTGAAAATGAGTGACGTGAAGCACGTGGAAGGGGCCCGGAGGACTGGAGTGCCTACGTTGCAGCCAGGATCCTCATTTCTGTTCTCAGTTGTTTGGGGGCCACACCCGGCGGTGCCCAGGGTTTACTCCTGGTTCTGTTATCAGGAGTCTCTCCTAAAGGGGCACTCTGCACTAGCACTCTGGCTGTCCGAGCACTCTGGCCCCAAGGAGTCCTAAAGTTGATCTGCATCATATCCTTCTTCCAGCATCAATGGCTGCCAACCCCCAGCCCTGAGCCAAGAGTAGGCACCCACACTGCCAGGTGCGGGGTGGGGGGCAAACAACCAAACATAGCACTACTTTGTCAAAAGATGCAAGAACATGCACAATTCATATACAAACATAGCATTTTTATATACATGACTAGAACATTCTTGGGATTTGGTACCTTTTTTTGGGGGGGGGAGGGGTCGGTCCTGGTACCAGTCCCTTGAAGATACCAAGGAACCAAGGAATGATTGCTGGTTTTAGCTAAAGGAAGGAAATCTCAAAGAGGATGTCTCCTTGCACGAGAAAAGCCAATGTGGTCCCCACTTCCGAGTTCAGTGAGCAGGAGATATTGAAAGGAAACAGTCATTTATTTATTTATTTGTTGGTTTGTTTTTGTTTTGCTTTTGGGGGGGTCACACCCAGCGATGCCCAGGTGTTAGTTCTGGTTCTGCACTCAGGAATCACTGCTGGTGGTACTCGGGGGACCACACAGGCTGCCAGGGATTGAACCTGGGTCGGCAGCGTGCAAAGTAAATGCTCTACCCGCTGTGCTATCACTCCATCCCCAAGAGAGGAAGCAGTCTTACAGGAAACTCCACACACCTGCGCATTTCTGCATTTCTCATATCCCTCCTGCTGGGACTCTGTTATTTTAGGGGGGAGGCATTATTTGTTCTAATGTGATAGGTTGTGGCCGGTTGGGTTCTTTTGGTAGGGGCAATGCTCAAAAAATTTTCACATACTCATTCACGCTAACTGCTGCTTCACCATTTCCACCTCGGTAAGGTTTCATAGGTGCGCTTCAGGCTCAGATTATCAGAAGAAACCTGCCTGTCTCTTTACAAATGTGGGGAAGATAGGACAGAGGCTAAGGCACATGCCTTGCATGTGGCTGACCCTGGTTCAATACCTCCGCATCACATGGTCTCCCCCAAGCATCACTGGGGCAGGCCCGGAGGCTCCTGAGTACTTTCCCCTCAGGTCCTCACAAGGGATTTCTGGTTGGTTGGCCAAGAATCATCAGCAGGGGGGGCCAGGGTTTCTGAGCATAACTTGGAAGGATCCCAAAAAAATCATGCAAAAATTAAAAAAAAAAAGACATAGGTGATTCTTGAAAACCTGAATCTGTGTGAAAGAATGCATGCATGGGGGCTGGAGAGATAGCACAGCGGGTAGGGCGTTTGCCTTGCATGCGGCAGACCCAGGTTCGATTCCCAGCATCCCATATGGTCCCCTGAGCACCACCAGGAGTAACTCCTAAGTGCAGAGCCAGGAGTGACCCCTGTGCATTGCCAGGTGTGACCAAAAAAAGCAAAAAAAGAATGCATGCATGAAGTGCCCCTGTTGTTGAAGCACCCACAGCAGTCAGGGTTAGAGGGACAGAAAGCAAATGGTGCAGGGGTGGGGATGATGCCAGAGGCTGGGGGCAGCGGGTGGTCATGGGGAAACAAGTGCTGTGAGCAGCGGTTTCATTTGTGAGTGATGAAGAGTTTCTTCTCCCCAGACAAAGGCAGCAACTGTGCAACCTTGCACGTGCACTACATACCACGGAATTGGCCAATTTCATTTCTATTATTCTGGGGCAGGGCCTGTCAGGCGCTGCTCAGAAAGCTCGAGAGGGTAAGCTGGGCAATACTCAGCCAACTGGGGGCTGGATAGATAGATAGCACAGCGGGTAGGGCATTTGCCTTGCACATGGCCGATCAGGGTTCGATTCCCAGTATCCCATATGGTCCCCTGAGCACCGCCAGGAGTAGTTCCTGAGTGCAGAGACAGGAATAACCCCTGTGCATTGCCAGGTGTAATCCAAAAAGTAAAAAAAAATACTCAGCCAACTATGCCAGATAGTTTCATGCTATGGCCTGGCAAGGTAGTGTTGCCTGGTCCCAGGAGTGCTGGGGGGGGGGGTATCTAGACCCACCCTGGGGGTGCCACAGGACCAAGTGCAGAAATTTGCACATACAAGACATGTATCCACCCCTGACCGCTAAGCATTCTTTCCCCAGCTTCTGGATGGTTCACTTTGGCAGGGGGCGGGGCAGCTTCTCCAGCAGTGCTCAGGAGGCCCAAACCAAGCTGTTAGGTTCAACGCAAGAGCCAAAGATGCGTTGCTGCTTGGGCCCTGTGGTGCCAGGTACACCCCAGCCACCCTGTCGATGGCAGGGGCCTCCAGCACCACTCAGCAACGCTAGGAGGATCATGAGGTGCCAGTAATCAAACCTGGTTCGGGTGCTTGCTAAGCATAACTGATACTGTCTCCCAGCCCCAAGGCGTTCACTTTTATTTATTTATTTATTTATTTATTTATTTATTTAATTTTTGTGTCACACTGGCGATGCACAGGGGTTACTCCTGGCTCTGCACTCAGGAATTACTCCTGGCGGTGCTTAGGGATGCTGGGAATTTAACCCGGGTTGGTCACGTGCTAGGCAAACGCCCTACCCATCATGCTATCGCTCCAGCCCTAGCGTTCACTATTAAATGGTTGTTAAGTGCATTTCAATTATCTTGTTTGGGGGTGGGGGGCACACCCAGCTGTGCTCACGGCTTACTCTAGGCTCTGTGCTCAGGGATCCCTCCCGGTGGAGCTCAGGGGATGATATGCGGTATTAGGGAACCGCTGTACCATCTCTTTGGCCCCTAATTCTTTTTTTTTTTCAAGTACTATATGTGAACGGTGACCCTTGCATTCAGTTTCTCTATTTCTCAGGGTCCTAACCTACCCTTCTCCGTCTGTTCCAACCCAACCACCGGCTGTGGGACATGAAAGGAGAGGAAAACATAAAAACAAGCCTTCTTTGACCCGGGGTCATATGGCAGGGGTCTCTGGCAGGAAAAACAGAAAGCTGTGATCCAGTGATCTCAAGTGGTAAACTGCGAACCCTTTTATCAGTGGAAGCAAAAGCCGTCCTGATACTTCCTCTGGTGGCCTGAACCAGCCTGTGACAAGTCTCCCCACAGACTGCCATATTCTTCCCAACAGAGGAGGGAGACTGAACCTGTTCTCCCTGGGCTAGCAGGGAGACTGCTCCTCTCGTCACAGGGCCAAAATCCATATGCCTGCCTATAAAGGCCTCTTGGATTTTGTGTGGCTTGGTTTCTCCTAGCCCAGGGTCAGCCCCTCCTTCCCTGTCTGGCTTCTAATACCCACCAATGAACCGGAAAGTAACAAGGGTAAAAAACACATGGAAGGGCCAGAGAAGTAGTTTAGCAGGTGCCTTGCACGTGGTCTACCCAGGTTCCATCCCCGGCATCCCATATGGTCCCCTGAGCACCACTAGGAGTAATTCCTAAGCGCAGGAGCAGGAGTAACCCCTGAGCATCACTGGGTATGACCCAAAAAGCCAAAAAAAAGCATGGATATGGAGGGAGGGGATAAGCAGTGTGGAGGGATGGAGAGAGGAAAGGAAAAAGGGAGGAAGCAAGAAGTGTGTCCTGCTTTAAGCCAACCCACGTTATAGGTAAATTCGTGTTCACAACCCAGCGTCCCCTCTACTAAAAGATTCACTACAGGAAACCTGTCAACAGAAGCGGCCCTTCGTGCGCTGAAGAGGATTTAAGGCTCAGGCCACCCAAACAAAGGCCTTCCACAAAGTGAGGAAGCGGTGCAAGGGACAGGCACAACTGTGCAGAAAATGGGGCCCTTTGTACCCTCTCAGGATTCCCCTGCATTTTCAGCCCTGTCAAATCTCTGCTAGAGGAAAAAGAAGACAATCTACTGAAACTGATCAGGGAAATGCACAGGGATGAAAAGCAAAACAAAAAAAATATTTTTTTGGTTTTGGGGGGGTCACACCTGGTGGTTCTCAGCCACCATTCATGATGGGGCTCAGGGGCTCTAGGTAGTGTTGAGCATGAAATAAGGCTCGGTTGCAAGCAATGCAAGCACCTTAATTCCTGTACTCTCTCTCCAGCCCTCTAAAAGCAAAATGCCTGGTAAGGTGTGCATACAGGCACTGAAGCGATAGTACAGAAGGCAGGACGCTATTTGCCTTGCACATGGAAGACCCAGGTTCAATCCCCGGCATCCCCCAATATGGTCCCCCGAGCACCACCAGGAGTCATTCCTGAGTGCAAAGCCCGGAGTTACCTCTGTGCATTGCCAGGTGTGGTCCCCTGAAAAAACAAGTAAGACATGCATACAAGCACACCCGAGTGAGGGTCGGAAAGGCGGGGCAACGGTACAAGGTAATACCTCTTTACCCCACCCTCCAACCTCATGGCATTTCTGGCACCGACTTCGCACCTTAGAGCAGAACCCTATGACCCTATAATCTTTGTGATTTTCAAGGGAGGACAATGGGGCCGAACAGGCACAAACATCAGGAGCCAAGAGACAGGGCACAAGTGGCAAAGCGTGGAGCCCCCAGTGTGAGCCCTGCTGCTACAAGGGCCCATGAGGCCTGTTCAGGTGTAGACCTCCTGGTAGCTTTAAGTCACCATTTGGCATTTGCATGGAAAAGAGTTGGCCCCTCCTTTCACCTCCTGATGCCCCACTTTTTTTTTTTTTTGCTTTTTGGGTCACACCCGGCGATGCACAGGGGTTACTCCTGGCTCTGCACTCAGGAATCACTCCTGGCAGTGCTCAGGGGACCATATGGGATGCTGGGAATCGAACCCGGGTCGGCCGCGTGCAAGGCAGACGCCCTACCCGCTGTGCTATTGCTCCAGCCCCGCCCCACTCTTTTTTTTTGTTTTCTGGCCACACCCAGCGATGCTCAGGGGTTACTCCTGGCTCTGCACTCAGGAATCTCTACTGGCAGGCTCAGGGGCCCATATGGGATGCTGGAGATTGAACCTGGGTTGGCTGCATGCAAGGCAAGCACTTTCCCTGCTCTAGTATCATCCCTTACTCGTCTCTATTTTGAAGCTCTAGTTCTATGCTAAGAAAATGAAAAAAAATGGGACATGGGTCTAGAAAGAGAACAGAGGTTTAAAGGCTTTGCCATGCATACAGCTGACCCCGGTTAGATTCCTAGTACCACTGGGAGTGATCTTGCACATCCCGTCCAGCTGAGAGCCATGAGCAGTCCCTCAGCCATGCTTGACATCGCCCAAAAGCCCCCCCCCCCACCCCTCAATTTATCAGGGGCTAGGGAGATAGCACAAGGGCTGGAGGATAAATTTTGCATGTGGGATTCTGGGTACCTTATGGTACCCTAAGTACTGTATTGGGAATAGCCAGGTGTGGTTCATTTGACCCCCCACCCCAAATAAACAATTAAGATATGTCAGGATATGAGAAGATGTTCATCCTGGACAAGCGAGGCAATTACAAAATTCAGTCAAGTCTCAGCTTTAACGCTATGGACCAGCATTCAAGTTAGCAAAAGGCCAGCTGGTGGTTGGGGCAAGTTCACAGAAAGGAGTGCGGAGGGAAGAAAGTGCTGATTTCTAACATTTTAACTACTTAAAACTCTTTTTTTCTTTCTTTTTGGGTCACACCCGGCAGTACACAGGAGTTACTCCTGGTTCTGCCCTCAGGAATTATTCCTGGCAGTGCTCAGGGGACCACATAGGATTATGGGGCTCGAACCCAGGTCGGCCGTGTGCAAGGCAAATGCCGTACCAGCCCCACTACTTAAAACTCTTGACGAATTCAAATTCCTCTGGAATTTTTGGCAAAGGACTCCTGACTGCTGTGGTCAGAGACAGTTTTATTTGGACCCAGAGGGCCTCCCATCTCTCAAGAAGGTTGCCTCTTGCCTAGTGAGGTCCCCAGATGAGCCATGCTGAGGTGAGACGGTGTTCAAGGGGGTGCTTTTGTCATGTGAGGCTCTCAGCGCTCCGGCTGCCAGTCAGGGCACTGCATTTAATAGTGAGTGTGAAAGAGACAGGGCAAGTGTGAAAGAGAGTCGAGGCCATGTGACAGGAAGCCGCAGAGGGTGGCTTGCCCCAAGCCCTTCCATCATCCCCAATGCTGATTCCAACAAAAGAGAACAAGAGGTGCACTTCTTTGGAGAAACAACAGAGTGAATATCCTCAAGCTACTCTGCTCCTAGGGGACAAGAGGCCAGAGACCCCAAAGCTGGGAGGGAATGCGGTATCTTCCTTCCCCAGCCAGCCTATGCAGAGCTGTCAGAACTGAAGCCTTTGGGCCTTCAGTGAGTCCATTTGAAGTTGGGTGGGCAGAAGTCAAGACCAGTGTGTATCAGCTGAAAGATAGGGCTACCGACCCACCCCCTCCTTCCACAGGGACCTTTAGTTCACGTTCCTTTGTTCCTCCATTATCATCTTCAATCATCAGCTACATAATTAGTCTGTGTTCCATCAACAACAGCACCCTACTTGGTTGGCATCCTCAGAACTTTATGTGGTGAGGGGAGAAGGATTCAAAAGTTAACTAGGGGGGCTGGAGCGATAGTACAGTGGGTAGGGCATTTGCCTTGCACACGAGTGACCCAGATTCAATCCCCAGCATCCCATATGTTCCCTCAAGCACAGCCAGGAGTAATTACTGAGTGTAGAGCCAGGAGTGACCCCTGTGCATCGCTGGTGTGGCCCCCCAAAAAACTTAACTAGGTCCGAACCTGAGGTGATAAGGAGGGGCCTCGGGCAAACCCTCACTCTGGTGGTTTCACACCTCAGATGGGGTCTACTACAAAGCCTGACGCCTCAAGATGGCTCAGTGATCTGACTCCCAGAGGCTCTTAGCCTGCTCAGGCAGCCCAAAGAAATAACTCTGAGAGCAAGGGCCAACAAGCTGTGACGTCACCAAGGAGTCGGGGTTCCCTTCTGGGAGGTCAGGTCTGAGGAGAGGCCTACTGAGCATGCCCCAACTAGCCTTCCCTCCTCCCAGCCCCACTGAGCTCTCCAACAGTGGCAAACCAACAGCTGCTATGCACTAATGAGAAAACAAAAGCATGCTGGCTTGTGGCCCTTGCCAGGGGTCTCGAAACCAGACACTTTTTCAGAGGGGCAGGTAGAAGAGAAGAAGCAAGAAGGGGAAGATGAGGGGACCTGGGGCCAGAGGGGCAGCAGGTCCCACAGGCACAGGCTGTGAGAAAAATCCAGCAGAAAAGAGGACAGTGGTCCCACTTGACTCTCCAATGAGGAAAAAGTGCCCCAGACCAAAAGCCAAAATGCCAAGTGCCACTTATTTGTAACTGATGTTCCACCCAAAGAGAAGGTCAACACACGGTGGGGGGGGGTGTGAGGGTGACACCCTAAAAAGAAGGCCAACCTCACACACCTCACCAGAACATAGGTTGCCAGGTGCCACCCAGACCCAGAACCAGAAGGAGAGGCATGAGATGTGGACACTCATGAGAGGAAATAAGAGAAAGTAGAACCTTTTGGGTACTTTCAAGCCTATCGCCAATGCTGGGACTCTCTGAAGGAATCCCTATAGCCCTGCGCATGGGGACTTCAACCCTGGGCCCTGCTTACCCGTAAGGAAGCGCTTCATTGCATCACTGCTTGCAAGCTTCATGGCCGTCTGCCCCGAGTAGGTAGCCAGGGTGGGGTCAGCCCCATAGGACAGCAAGAGCCACATAGTCTCCAGGTTGTCATTGACGACCGCATCGTGAACTGGCCTGCAAAACCGACCCAGTGTGAGAACAATGCCTGCGTGTCTAGCCCCGCCCCCCCCCCCCCCCCCCCCGGTGGCTTTGTCAAGATGAAGTGAAATGAGGCGACTCCGTGTGAAGTGGGTAAGACTTGGGGTAGGACAACTGTCATCTTCCTTTGCACTGTACTTCTTTCCCCTTTATTTTAATCTCCCCCTCTCCCGAACCTTGGGGCCAGTCCCATGGACACCATGCAGCTGAGGAAAAACTGAAAGCAGCTGTTGTGAAGGTGGGGGGAGGGAATGCAGATAAATGCCCTGGGAGCAAGGACGGATGAGGAGCGGAGGCTCTCCATGCCAGGTGGCAAGCCAAGGAGAGCCTGCATCCTTTGACCCAAATCCTTATTTGCTAAGCAGTGTGTGTCTCTCCTGTCCAGGAAGCAGACCCTCTGATAGTAGAGGGACTCACTTTTTTTTTTAAAGACACGGCATGTGGACGGAATAGATAGTCCAGGGGTCAAGGCAGCTTGCTTTGCCCTGGACCCCAGTTCGATCTTCAACAGCCCACAGGGTTCCCCCCACCATCAACATCTGCCACCAAGCCCTGCCAGATGTGAGCCTTGAGCACGGAGTCTGGAAGATGCGCTAAGCACCACCAGGTGTGGGCCCAAACCAGGAGTCAAAGCCACAGATCAAGTGTCCTTGCACCCTTCAGAACAGTTGAAGGCGCGGGGGGGGGGGGGGAGGGGTGGGGGGGGTTCCGGTGACCTTTCTGATCAAGCTGTAGTTGCCTGATGGAATGATCTCTAGAGCCCTTCGCTTCCCCTGAGCTGGTGATCCAGAAACACCTCTCCCCACCCCCTCCAGGGTCTCTGAATGCTCTGGGGGAGGGGGAGCGGCGCGGGGGGAGCAGCGTGCTTGCCTTGTGCCATCCTGCGCGCTGCAGTTCACGTTGGCCCCATGCTCCAGTAGGATATTGAGGATTTCGGTCCAGCCCCGGGAGCTGGCCTCATGCAGGGCCGTGTAGCCGGCATTGTCGCGGTGATTCACATCCGCGCTGTCTTTCTGGAGGCAGTAGAGGACGACATCCTGCGGGGCGAGAGGGAAGCCGTGAGCTGAGAGCAGCAGAATCCCCGAACCCCTGCCCAGTTCGCCTGGACGCGCTTTCAAATGTTAAAAGTGCCACAGGGCTTGCCTGGGACCCTGGAGACTGGCGAGTCTGAGCACTCGTCAGCAGCAGCAGCAGCCCTGACTCGGGCCTCAGCAGTGGAAAGCCTTTGGGTTACTCTTCGGAATTAGGAATTTACTGAGTGAAAATCGGCTTACAAGGAGTATAAAACCCTTATAGAGTATAGGGGTCCGATGTTCCTCCACTCTCCTACCACCGAAGTGCCAGTAAACCTTCACCACAGTCTACAGGGCCCTTCTGTTCCATTCCCCTCCTCTCCCTGGGACCACCTCAGTTCTTGTCAGAATCTACGTGTTAGCTTTCTTTATTTTTTTCCTTTTGGGAAATTTTGAATTGTATTATTTTTTACTTAAAGAACCACGATCTACAAAGTTATTGATAGTTAGGGTTCAGGCTGGAGTGATAGCACAGCAAGTAGGGTGTCTGCCTTGCACGCAGCCAACCCAGTGATCCAAGTTCGATTCCTCCGCCCCTCTCAGAGAGCCCGGCAAACTACCGAGAGTATCTCCCCCACACAGCAAAGCCTAGCAAGCTCCCCATGACGTATTTGATATGCCAAACACAGTAACAACAAGTCTCACAACGAAGACATTACTGGGCCCGCTCGAGCAAATCGATGAACAATGGGAAGACAGTGCTACAGTGTTCAGGCATATACTATTTCAACACCAATCCCACCATCAGTGTCAACTTCCTTCCACCAGTGTTACACACTCCCTTCCCCATACAACACCCTCACCGCGTCCCCCTCTCTGTCGTTCCCCCCGCCCCCACCGCCTGCCACCCTGACGCATTAAAGAGTTCTGGTGGTTACAGCTTAGATCTCGTCTTTTCAGTGTTGTTGGGTCTGTGTTTTGGGTATTTAATGCTATCCCACTTTTCCCGCATCACCGCGATAACCAAAGCCCTGACCCCTGTTCCCCCACTACAAACATGGAATGCTTCATGAATTTCTGTGCCATTGTTGAGCAGGGGCAAGATCCTCTCAGTATCATTCCCATTTTAGTGCATGTGCTGCTGAAGAAAGCACCCCATTCATTTTCACTGGACACCAGCTAGTCCCTTGCTTTGTTTCTGGAGATGCTGCTTATGATTGAGCTTACCCAGTATTTGTCTTTGTGCTTTTGACTTTCTTTCATGTAACCTCACCACCATGCATGGTAAGGTCAAAAGCAAGACTTCATCTTTTCCTACCACTGAGGAGTACTCAATTGTGTGTGTGGGCGTGTGTGTATCTTACAACTACTTTTACTCACTCATCTCCCACTGGGCACTTGGGTCATTTCTAGATCTTGGCTATTACAAACAGAGCAGCAGTGAATGAACACAGGTGTGCATAAACCTTTTTCATATTAGCATTAGTTTTTTTCTTAAAGTTTTGGTTTTTGGGCCATACCCAGCAGTGCTCAGAGGTCACTCCTGGCGGGACTCAGGAGACCCTATGCCATGCCAAGGATTGAACCCGGGTCAGCCATGTACAAGGCCAATGCCCTAAGACTGTACTATGTCTCTGGCTCTGTTTAGGTATTCTTGGATTAGGTGGTTAGGAGTGGAATTTTCAGGGTCATAGAGCATTTCTGTTTTTCATTTTAGAGAAACTCCACGGGGAGCCATTTTCTAGGACCAAGAACACTCATCTGTGTGTGGGCTGTTGGGGTGAAGTCCTCAGAGTTGCTCACGTGCCCCTCAAGGCTTGATTATACTGGGCCCAATGCCCTGAACACCAGGGGCTCAGTCTGGGGCATTGTTAAGGGAATGGAACATGCAGGGGCAAGTACAGCCTCTGTGGCTAGGTCGAGAGCAGGGAAGAAGCATTTTTTGTAGGATGCCTGGACACTGGCTTTTGCTGTTTGTTTGTGTGGGAGCCACAGCCAGTGGTATTCAGGGCTTACCCCTGACTCTGCATTCGAGGATCACTCCAAGTGGGCTCAGGGGACCATGAGGGGTGCTAAAGATTAAACCTGGGTCAGCCACGTGCAAGGCAAAAGCCCTATCCGCTGTACTATCTCTCCCTGGCCACTGCCTTTTGCTATTTTAAGTGGGATCTCCAATCTCTTGGTGCTTATCCAAGGGCAGTCAGTTTCAGCTCGAGGATAATTTAGCCTGGTTATTCACTGAGACAACAGAACCACAGGAGGGACTCAGGCCTGGACACCGCCTTGCTTAGGTAGTCTAGGCTGAGGTTAAATGTAAACAGAGGGGGAACGTTAGAGGCAGACCCTGGAAAGAGGAAGAGAAGCTGGCAGTAAGAACTTGCAGGGGTGGAGCTGGAGTGATAGCACAGTGGGTAGGCCGTTTGCCTTGCATGTGGCCGACCCGGGTTCGAGTCTCAGCATCCCACATGGTCTCCTGAGCACCGCCAAGAGTAATTTCTGAATGCAGAGTCAGGAGTAACCCCTGTGAATCAACTGAGTGTGACACAAAAAAAGCAAAAAGAAAGAAAGAAAGAAAGAAAGAAAGAAAGAAAGAAAGAACTCGCAGATATCTCATCAACCCTGTCCCAGGCCCTGATCGATGGTTTACTTGGCTTTCCTGACCCATAGCTAGCTTATGGATGGTTAGTTAGAGCAAGTGAGTATGCTAACAAAAGCCAAGGGTGAGCAGGTGTGCATGCTTGGTGTGTGTGTGTGTGTGTGTGTGTGTGTGTGTGTGTGTGTGTGTGCGTGTTTGTGCACGCACGCGGGGGGGGGGGGGGGCTTCCAGGACACAGGACCTGTCCCAATGCCTAGAACCAGGAGAGATGAGGGCCAAGCCTCCTCTCCCATGCAAATGTTTGTCTCTCCCCTCCCCTGCCTTGAACCATCCGCTCCCACAAAGACTTCCCAAACTCTCTTTCCTTTCCTCACTGGTTTTCCTAAGTTTTATCCTTCACTGGTTTGACTCCAGGTAAAAGAAAATTAACCTTGGGAGCTGGAGAGAGTACAGTTGGGTAAGGCACTTACCTTACAAGCCCCTGACCTGGGTTCAATCCCCAGCACCCCATATGGTCCATCAGGAGTAATTCCTGAGTGCACCACCAAGAGCAACCCCTGAGCATTGTGATGCCCCTCCCCCCAAAAAAAACACTAAAACCGAAGAAAATTGACCTCTAGGATGGAGCAAGGGTGGTGTTCGTTCATAGTTGTTGGTTTTATCTCCTTAGATCTTGACAGCTCTCTACCTCTATTCTAGGTCCTCGAGAAAGATGGCAGCTTGGGTGAGTGCTCGTCCATGGCAGCTCTTTGATACTCCCTAGCTTGGCTGGAGGTGCAGCTGTTTTCAAGAAGGCACTCATAGGAACCAGGAAGAGAGGTCAACTGGCGGGGCATAAGCCCACACCATCTCCCAAGACTGCTGGATGTGGCCACTTTAAATTAAAAAGCCATAGCTACTGAAAGCCTTACAAAAACAAAAGAGGGTCTGGAGTGACAGTACAGCGGGTAGGGCATTTCCCTTGCATGAGGCCAACCTGGGTTCGATTCCCAGCATCCAATATGGTCCCCCAAGCACCATCAGGAGTAATTCCTGAGTGCAAAGCCAGGAGTAACCCCTGTGTATTGCTGGGTGTAACCCAAAAGGCAAAAAAAAAGAAGGTCGATCTCTCACTGCTGCTGCCATGTCAACTCACCCATGGCCCTGCTCTTCGGATTCAAGAACTGAGTCTCAGATGAAATGTAAGCCAAACTGTTAAAATTCATGGACACAACGTCTCCCAGCTGTAAACTTCTGGGGCGTACTTAGGAGATGGCGGGCTGAGTCCTAGCCCTGCTAAAGCCTGGGCAGCCACACCCATACCCCAGTGCTGCCACCATGCCAAAGGCTCAACTCTATGGCTTCACTTAAAAATTTTCTGCAGAGGGCTAGAGCAATAGCACAGCAGGTAGGGGGTTTGCCTTGCATGCGGCCGACCCAGGTTCGATTCCCAGCATCCCATATGGTCCCCCGAGCACCTCTAGGAGTAGTTCCTGAGTGCAGAGCCAGGAGTAACCCCTGTGCGTTGCCATGTGTGACCCAAAAAGCAAAAAAAAATTTCTGCAGAGACACCAAACTGCAAACAGTTCAGATACCCCAGTGTCAGGCTGAGAACTGGGGGGGGGTCTTCTCAGAGTGGGGGAGACAGCCTTCCCCCACCCAATCCCCATGCTTCTGTAAGCCCCAACAGCCATGCCCACTTCCCACAGACATGTCAATCCATTTACCCAATTCTACAAATACTGTACTTTCTGGACTGTACAGCTGTGTATGTGGCTGCACGACACCCTCAAATTTCACAATACTGAAAATCTAGTAAGAGCCCACCAAATTAGATGGGAAAGGAAACTAGAAGCCAACTGTCACTGTCACTGTCATCTGTTGTTCATCGATTTGCTCGAGCGGGCTCCAGTAACGTCTTCATTCATCCCAGCCCTGAAATTTTAGCAGCCTCTTCTTACTCCCAATGGTGCCTTATTGGAGGCTCTTTGAGGGTCAGGGCAATGAGACCTGTTATTGTTACTGTTTTCGGCATATAGAATATGCCACGGGGAGCTTGTCAGACTCTGCTGTGTGGGTGGGATACTCTCGGTAGCTTGCCGGGCTCTCCAAGAGGGATGGAGAATATATATAAGAGAATACAAGCAAGTATGTTAAAACCAAACACATGTATGCTGCTTTAGGTACATCATTGGCTAGACTATAAGCCAAGTAAACTAGAAGCCAACTAAACATCAAAAACAAAACAAGGGGCTGGAGAGATAGCACAGCGGATAGGGCGTTTGCCTTGCACGCGGCCGACCCGGGTTCAATTCTCAGCCTCCCATATGGTCCCCTGAGCACCGCCAGGAGTAACTCTTGAGTGCAGAACCAGGAGTAACCCCTGTGCATTGCCAGGTGTGACCCAAAAAGCAAAAAAAAAAAAAAAGTAAAAATGAAAATTTTTAAAAAGTGAAAAAAAAATAAATAAATAAAACAAAACGAGTAACACAGAAGGCTCAATTAGCAACAAACAGCTTAGTAAACCCTCAGATAAGAACTTAACAACCCTGTGGTGAGATGCAACCTTTCACAAATTTCCTTTTAGCTCTGATAATTCCCTTAACCATTTACTTGTAACAAGCAATATTAAACAAATTATTTAAAAATATGAAACAATAAACAAGTTGTCAGACTTGGGGGGCAGTTGGAAAAATAGGAACCATAGTGGCGGGAAGGTCTCTGAGGTGGTGGGATTGTTACTGGAACCTCGAAAGCCCATAACAACTGTATTACGAACAACTTTGTAAACCATGATGTTTAAATAAAGCATCTACATAGAAAAGAGGGCCTAGGGGACTGGAGTACATGCCTTACACCCTTATCCCTGTAGCCCCCAGTTCAATTTCTGGCACTATCTGGTCCCTTATGCTGGGGTGGCCCTCAGACCCCCTTCATTGCCAGGCCTGAGTAGCACCACTGGGATCAAGCACTAAACTGTCAGACTGTCACAACTAGGTTAAGTATCACCAGGAGTGGCCTCCAGTCCTGTAAGCAGCACTGGAGTCCCCGAAAAAGGGCCTCATCTATTACCCAACCGTCCCACCCTTGTAGGCAACTAAAAAATAAATCAGTTTGATTCCTAATACCATATGTCTTTCAAAGCATTGCCTGATGTGGTTCCTATAAACCCGGGGTGGGGGTGGGGGTGGGAGTGGAATCAGTTACAGATATCAAAAGCCTTTTTTTTTTAAAAAAAAAAAAGAGGGGCCAGTCAGAGAGTGAGCATTGAGAGGGTAAAGCCTTGCCATGTGGCCAACCTGAGTTCAACCCCTGTCATCATGTGTGGTCCCTTAAGCACCACTGGGGTCATTTCTGAGCACAGAGACAGAAGTATCTCCTAATAATCACCAATTGATATGACTCCAACCCACCCCCACCTAAAAAAATAGAGGGAGGGACTGGGAATAAGAGATATAGCTCAAAGGGCTGAGAAACAAGCCTTGCATATGCAAGACCTCAAGTTCTATCCTTAGCAACCACATGCCTTCTCCCTGTGAGTACCAGTCATGTGGTACTGGTGGTTCCCAGCAATGCAGGTCTGAGTCACACCACTCCTGAGCACTGCTGGGGGAATGTCCCCTAATTAAAAAAAACCCTGAAAATTACAAAAAAAAAACCTATAAAGTCCAAAACAGGGGCCAGGGACATAGCTCACAATCTCACATACACAGGGACCAAAGTTCAATCTCTGGAGCCAAATGGCACCTGAGCAGCAGTTGGGTGAGCCCTGCGGGGCCCCAGAACCAAATGGCTGAGCCCAAGCATCAAACCATCTGGCCTAGTTGTCACAGTACTGCTAAGAGTGGCTCTGAGTCCCCTAAACACTGCTTGGGTGCCCCCACCCCGAAAAAATAGCATCAGGAAACACCCAAAATGTTCAACACTATAATTTTGTGATTGAAAATTACTTAGAATTTACACACACACACACACACAGTTGAGTGAACTTGGACCCATTGCTATGCCTTAGTTTTTTTATTTGTAAAACGGTGGTGTGGAGAGGCCGGACCTATAGTAGAGCACGCAGCAGACCCGGGTTCAATCCCCGACATCCCATGTGGTCCCCCAAGCACCGCCAGGAGTAATTCCTGAGGGCAGAGCCAGGAGTAACCCCCGAGCATAGCTGGGTGTGATCCCCAAAAGCAAAAAAAATGGTGAAGTGGAGACCTTATTCATACAACTGAGCTGGTGGAGGGGTTGAGAGGAAGGAGCACTGGGGTCCTTGGGGGAGGGAGGCGGGTACACTGGTGATGGGTGTGGTGCTGGAATTAGGGGCCTGAGAAACCATCTCTAACAATATTGTAAACTAGGCTAGAGTGACAGTACAGCACATAAAGTACTTGCCTTGCACATGGCCAACCCTGGTTTAATCCCCAGCACCCTATATGGTCCCTGAGCATGCTGGAAATGGTCCCTGAGCACAAAAGCAGGAATAAGCCCTGAGCACCAGTACCAAAGCAAGGGTATTGTAAACCACAGAACATCAATTAAAAGTAAAATAAAAATTAATGGTGGTACTAAAACCTCCCCGATCTTATGGAGGTTTTATGATTGAAGATTAAGTGAGTGGAAGGAAAATTAGAATTCCATTTTGTTTTGGTTTTAGGGGCACATCCAGTGGTGTTCAGGGGCCACACCTTGTTCTGGGTGATTCCTGGTGGTTCCAGGATTCATACCAGGGCTGCAGCTGTGTCTGCATGCAAGGCAAGTGCTTTAACTGTCTCTCTGCTCCAGAAATATTCTGAGTTCTTATTCGTTTGCCTTTTTGGGTCACACCAGGCAATGCTCAGGGCTCCTGGCTCTGGACTCAGGAATTACTCCTGTTGGTGCTTTGGGAACCCTATGGGATGCCAGGGATCAAAGCCAGATTGGCCACGTGCAAGGAAAGTGTCCTACTCACTTTACTATTACTCTGCCCCCTGATCTGAATTCTTTTTGCTTTTGGGGGAGTCACACTCGGCAATGCTCAGGGGTTACTCCTGGCTATGCACTCAAGAATTACTCCTGGCGGTGCTCGGGGGACCATATGGGATGCTGGGAATCGAACCCGGGTTGGCTGCATGCAAGGCAAACACCCTACCTGATGTGCTATCACTCCAGCCCCTGATCTGAATTCTTATTTTTATATAAAGATTTATTTATTTTGATGTAGTAGTACTGCTATTTATTCAGCCACTGCCTGATCTAAATTCTTTTTTTTTTTTTTTTTTGCTTTTTGGGTGACACCTGGCGATGCTCAGGGGTCACTCCTGGCTCTGCACTCAGGAATTACTCCTGGCAGTGCACAGGGGACCACATGGGATGTTGGGAATTGCACAGGGGACCACATGGGATGTTGGGAATTGAACTCGGGTTGGCCGCATGCAAGGCAAATGCCCTACCTGCTGTGCTATCACTTCAGCCCCTTGATCTGAATTCTTAACCTGGTCAAAGACTTGCTCCATCCACTTCAGCTTCCTATCAGCTCCACAGGGAAGCAGCTCCGGGTTAAGCATAGCATTCTCTCTTAACATATCCTGGCCACTCCCTACTACCAGAAGAGGATGCGGAAATAAGGGAAAGTTGGAGGAGGATATGAAGAGTGACCAATGATTATCACTTGTTCTTCTCTTGAGTGGGAGAGTCACCACTCAGGGAAATCCAAGACAATATAAGAGAAACACCTGAATCCTGTTTCTTGCCAAGAAATAGGATGGGATAAACTGATTACCATTTTCATTACATTCATCCCACCCACCACACCAGGGTCCTAGAGACCCCACAGGTGATTCGGAGAGAAGGGGAAGGCCAGTCTGGGCCTCTGAGAGCCCCAAACCAGTGCCACCTGGGTCACAGAGGAGCCAACAGAGAAGCATCGCATCTCTACCAAAACTCACAATGACATCCTGCTTCATTGTAGGGAGGAGGGGCCGGGGTGGGGGAAAGCAAATCACCTTATAGCCGAGACGAGCTGCCCGCTGCAGGAGCGTCTCCCCAGCATTTTTGTTCACTATGAGTCGCCGTGCCTCTGGTGGGATCTGCCGGGCGGTCGGTGATTCTGAAACATCTTCTGGGCCGGCGCTTCTAGACCTTGAGTGCACGCCTGGCTCCGTGGGTTTCGCTTGGGTGGCGGGTTTAGGTGCTCGTGGCTTCTGCTGGTTCCAGCGCCCTTTGCCCTGAAAAGCAGAGAGGAAGTCACAGATCGGCGAGGGTGCCTGTCCGTCTCCACCCAGTGTCAAGACACCCACGGGCTCAAATCCTCAACCACACAAGCCCAGGGAAGGGGCTGGAATTTATAGACATTGAGGGTGACAGCCCCGTGCTTCTTAATTCCTCTCAATGCCTCAATCCCCACTGACGGAGGCTTGAACAAGTCACCGCTATAAACAAGTAGGAGGGGAAAGAGAAGCAGGGACAGTCATCTACTGAGGAGACACTGCCACAGAAGCCGTCACTCGTCGCACAAAACCTTGGGCTGAACCTTGGGCTGCAGAACAGCCTCTGACAACCTGTGAGTAGGGTCCCCAAACAAAATCAAACTAACAGAGACACAAGATGAATGAACCTTCCCCGACTTCCAAACCTCACCAGGCCTTTGTCATTGTGGCCCCAGATCAGGCCCACACTCATGTGGGGTTGGGGACAGCAATCCCAAATTGGGAATCACAGACCTGGGTTTTGCTCTAGCCTTTGCAGCTCACTATACCTCCAAGACTGAAGGCAAGGCCCCGCATGCCAGAGCCCCTCTTTATTCCTGGCAGGGTCTTTGAACTCCTGTACCCTAAAGAGGCTCTAAAGCAATACAGAGAGTGTTCATAAAACCATAAGGGTTCTTCTTCCCCCTTTAGGTTGGGCCACATCCAGCAGTGTTCAGAGCATAATCCTGGTTCTGCACTAGGGATCACTTTCTGGCAGTGTTCGGGAGGGATCACATGGGTTTCCGAGGATCTGATCGGAGTCAGCTACATGCAAGATAAGCTTCTCACCCAGTTGCTTCTCTGGCCCTAACCTTTGAGTTCTATTTTTTTTTTGTTTTGGGTCACACCCACAGTACTCTGTACTCAAGGCTTACTCCTGACTCTGCCCACAGGGATCATGCCTGGTGGGGTTCAGGGGTCATACAGGGGTAACAAGGATTGAATCAGGGTCAAATGCATGCAAGGAAAACACCTTATCCACTACGCTATCCCACCAGCCCTCCCAACCTTAAGAGTTCTTGCCTAATCAATAACTCCTGTACATGACCCTCTCTCTCCCATTTGCATCATAGTGTCTAGAATACGTTCTTATGCCTGCCTCACCATAGCATATTGGAGTCTCTTGGGATCTCCACAGCATATTGGAGTTTCTCATTTCTTTTATTCCAGGGGGGGTCTACAGATAATGAGGACCTGAACTCAAGGAACTTGAACCTAAACCTAGACAAAGAGATTCTAAACTTGGAGCTGATACTTATCACTGAATGGAAACTATTTTTTTTGGGGGGGGAGGTATACCCAGTAGTGCGCAGGATTTATTCCTGATTCTATGTCAGGAATCATTTCTGGTAGGGTTCAGGGGATCAAATGGGGTACCAGGGATCGAACCCAGGTTGGCCACATATAAGGCAAATGCCCTACCCTCTGTGCTATCGCTCTGGCCCCTTGATGGAGACTTTGGAAGCCCTCAACAGGGATGAGTCTTAGACCTCAGCTTATGGAAGGGACATAAATTTAGATCCCAGAGAAAAGATTATCTGTCCTTATCAAGGCTCCAAAAATCCCCCCCAAAGTCCCCCCACCCCACATCCGCCTGACAGTCATAGTCTGGTGCAGTCCCACTCTGGCCCTGGAGAGAGCTGGACTCTATCACCGAGATGCTGGCAGAGATGACTATGTGGGACTTCCAAGGCTAGGTAGGAAAAAGGCCATGTGGGTTCTACCTGGATTTCTTTGGGAATCACTCCTTCTGGGGGAAGCCAGCAGCCACAGGCGGAAGAGAGGCCCAAGGGATTAAAAGGAGAAGCCTCCAGCCAACAACTGCTACCATCCTGTCGGCCAGCGGAGGGAGCTACCATGCAGACAGAGTCTCGAGCTCAAGTCTTGGGTAGACCTGGCTGAAACCTTGTCATTCATGGGAGAGCCATGCCACACCCAGCTCAGCCACTCCTGAATTCCAGACCCCTGAACTTGTGTGACCTAGGTACTAAACACCTATTATGGTGCGAAGTGGCTAGGATTTGGGGTCATCAGTTACCTCAAAAAAGGTGTCAAATACACCCCTTGTTTAAATTCCTCAGGGCATCAAGGTGTCACTGAAATCCCACAATTTTGACAAGCATTCCCCGTAGAAAGGCTCTGAACCACTGGCCTGAAGCCTTGGTTCTAACTTCCGGTCCATGGACCGCTCATGCAAGACAGAAGCTGACCCACTTGGGTATCAAAAGGTTGACGAAAGGTGCTCTACAAGACTGCTTCTCTCTGCCCCTCTCTCTACAGTCAGATCACAGTGTCTGAATCCCATCATCTGAATCCCATCTTCCTATTGTTTCACAGGCAAATCTGATCTCCCCTGTGAAATGTATTGGGGGGGGGGGTGAACGGCTCCAATTACAGTTTTGTTTGTTTAGGGGCCACATCCAGTGATACTCAGGGCTCACTCCTGACTCTACGCTCAGAGATCACTCCCAGCAGACTTGGGAGACCACAGAGGGTGTTGGGGATTGAACCTTGCCATATGCAAGTCAAGCAGCCTACCCACTGTTTTATCTCTCGGACCCCTTTCTATTATAGTCTTCTCTTTTCTTCCTGACACCCCTTCTTTGAGGCCTTGGTACACCAGCCTAACTAGTATTCATGAACTTGATTCGAGCCAGCCGTGTTTAGAGCTGTGGCAGCCAGGAAAGTGGCCTAGAACAAACGGTAGGAGCCAGGACGGGAATGGGGCAGCAGAGAAAACACCAGAGCCCGGGAGAGTTTGTTTCTCTAGGCGAATCTCGAGACAATGAGAGCTGCAACCCCATCTCCGCCCTGAAAGGGAGAGGGGTACCAGCTCTGGCAGGGAGGCCTGGCTAATACAGAACGATGTTTCTTCCGCCACAAGGGTTAGAAGGGAAGCCTGGCAGGACTCGGGGATGTGGGGTGAAATGCCCGGGTTTGAGCTAAGTCAAACCAGCAGCCAAAGGGTGACTCTCCTTCTGGGGGGCGAGAGCTGCCAGACAAGGGAGGCTGTCTGAGAGGGGAGGGAGGGAGAGCAAACGGGGGGGCCCTCCCTCTCCCAGTTGTCCCTGGCTCAGCGCCCCTGTGGGAAGAAGCCTTTGGCCACTGCCCCAGCTTTAGAGCTGCAGGCGCGTCCCCCTCACTCTCCCCCCTCCCATCACTTCTCACCACAAAGCTCCGTGCCATGGGGGGCAACCAGAGCAGGTGGCGGTGACTGGGACAGAAAGAAAGGCGGGGTGCGGTGGGGAGAAAGAGAGGCCCTGTAAAGGGACAAAACCCCTCTGGAGGAAATGTTGCAGTGGGCGCACTGCCAGAGGCATCAGCATGTGCTGCTCGGTGTCAGGCGGCTGGTCATCTCTGCGTGGGATGAGGCCATCTGAGCGTCTGGGAAAGAACTGGCGGCAGGGAGGGGGGTGCAGAACCCACCTTTGCCGGACACACTCAGGGACGCCACTGAAGAGTCTTTGCCCAGCTCCTCCCCGCTCTCGGACACAGAGAGAAACACATTTTCTGGGTGGCAGCAAACAGAACGAGCTGCGGCTCCAGGGCTGCTCCTTGACCTAAGTGCTGTTTGTGACCATGGGGTGGTTTCCTGACCTTAAGAGGTCCCCCGCTTCACTTCTCAGAGCCTTGGATTCCACACCATGAAACAAGGAAAACCGGTGTGGCCCTCTGGCCATCTGCTGTGGCAGCGGAGAGACGGGGCACAGTGGCCTCTGTCTGGCCACACAATACCTAGAGCCTTGGCCCGATGCTCATGGGTGGACAGCAACCTCAGAGAACCCTCTCCAGCTATCAAAGCCTTTCACATCCTGGGTGTCTTTTGTTCCCCAAGTACTCTTGTGAGATGAAAAGGACATGAAGCGTCGTCTCTGATTTTAAAGATGAGGAAAATGGCTTGCGTGTCTTGTTTGAACTAGAACTATTTTCCAGGCCGGAGAGGGGGTGGCGGACAGGAAAGGAGGGGGCCCAAAGAGAGAGGGCTCCGTTTTGTCACTGCCACTCCTTGCTCAGAAGCTGGAAAGGTCCGTACAAAATAAAATCACACCCACCCTAAGAAGTCCAGTATAACTCTTTTTTTTTTGGTCTGTTTTGGTTGCCAATGATCAGATACATTTTATGTGCATACAATCTGCTTAACTCACAAAAAAAATCATCCCTGCCACTGGAAGAAAAGGATAGTGTGAGTCTCCAAATGGAGTACATAGCTGTATAGAATATATAGCATGTAGGGCGTTCGCCTTACAAGCGGCCAACATGGCCCACCCGAGTTCGATTCCTCCGCCCCTCTCGGAGAGCCCGGCAAGCTACCGAGAGTATTCGATATGCCAGACACAGTAACAACAAAGTCTCCAATGGAGACGTTACTGGGCCCGCTCGAGCAAATCGATGATCAACGGGGGGCCTTTACCTTTACCTTTACATTAGAGAGTGTGTGTCTCTGTGTGTGTGTGTATATATATATATATATATATATGTATGTATATATATGTAAATATATATGTATGATGTATTCGATATGCCAAATACAGTAACAACAAAGTCTCACAATGGAGACGTTACTGGGCCCGCTCGAGAAAAATCAATGAAAAACGGGAGGACAGTGACAGTAACAGTGATATTGATATACATATATGTATATACATATATGTATATATGTGTGTGCATATATATGTGCGTATATGTGTGTGTGTGTGTATATATATATATAGTGTGTGTGTGTGTGTGTGTGTGTGTGTGTGTGTGTGTGGGCTGGAGCGGTAGCACAGTGCGTAGGGCATTTGCCTTGCACACGGCCGACCCGGCTGACCCAGGTTCAATTCCTCCGCCCCTTCAGAGAGCCTGGCAACCTACCGAGAGTATCTCGCCCACATGGCAAAGCCTGGCAAGCTACCCGTGACATATTCGATATGCCAAACGCAGCAACAAGTCTCACAATGGAGACATTACTGGGCCCGCTCGAGCAAATCGATGAACAACGGGAGGATAGTGACAAATATAGTGTGTGTATATGTGTGTGTGTAATGAGTAGAGTTGAGTGTATAGATTCCAATGTCAGCATCATGAACACCAGACCCAAGAGAGAGAGAGAGAGACGTCGATGATTTTGTTTTGAACTGGGGAGTTGAGACTGCTTGCCTGGCTACTGAGTGGTGAATGCTACTTATCCGGTCTGTGACTCCCCAGAAACTGGAGGAGCCAGAGAGTGAGATGGGAAGAGTGACTGTCACTGAACCCAACTGGCTTTACCTGTGTCTGGACACCAACAGACAACTTGCTTCTACAAGTTGTTTCTTCACCTAGACCGACTCAGCTAACTTCCATTGGTTTCCAGCGAGTTGGGCCCAGACAAAAGCTTCTTGATGGCATATTAATAAGCTATTCAGGCTGACATCCTGCCATAGAATGTGATACTTCTTTGACCCAAGGGCATGGCTTGTCAAAGAAAATACTGCAGGGATCAAATCCTACAGATCTTGCAAATGCTAATGTTGGTAACAGTTTCCATTCTTCAAACCCAACCCACACCTTCTAGAAAAAACATTAATAAACATGGGGTCTTTCCGTTCGGATCTACCCCATCCCTTAATCACTGAACTGTGGTCTCCTGAGCCTGTGGAAAGCCTGCCAGCCCCATCCACTCCCTCTGCCACAAGTGTCCTTCCCAGCAAACATACCTTTGTCTCTTCAGAGACGGGCACTATGTGCTTGGTCTTGCACTTCCGTTTTCCTGATGGCTTTTCTGAGTTTTCAAGGCAGGCTGGCTCCTCCAGGTTATTGGGGAGAATACCATTGGGTGACTCCAAGACGCCCTGGGTTTTGTTGGGCAGAGGAAGGCTTCTGCTCCTGAGGCGAGGTTCTGTCAAATTTTGTGGGGGAGGTTTCGGCTTCCGAATCTTTGACTCTGAAGGCAAGAAAGTGGAAAAGAATGGATGGCAGGGGAATGGAACACAAGACAAGTGCTGCCTTCCTCTAAGATCACTCACAGGACTTCGAGGACTCGAATCTCAGTCACTGCATTTTCTTTGGATTGTTCTGGGGTTATACATCCAGTGGTGCTCAGGGCTTCCTCCTGGCTCTGTGCTCAAGAATCACTCCTGCTGGGGCCCAAGGGATCATATGGGGTGTCAGGCCAGCATTATGCAAGGCAAGTGATCACTATGCTGTACTATCACTCTGGCCCACCGTGACTTTTGTTGTTGCTGTGTTGGTTTCTGGACCACACCAGGTCACACTTGCGGGCTTGCTCCTGGCTGGGCTCAGGATTCCATAGGAGGCACGAGGATTCAAAGAGGGGGGGCACCAGAGTGTCATGCTAGGCAAATATCTTAACTTTTGGACCATCTCCCCAGCCCAGTAAACGTACTTCTATTATTGGTGGAGGAGTGGGATGACCGGTTGCCAATATCTACTGTGGTGGTAACAACGTCACCGAATGTTCGAGACTGTACATCAGCACTATACATCAGCATCAAAATCCTTGAAGAGGGACACAAATCCCATCCCTGCCAGCAGAGGGCAGCTCACCTAGCTGTCCAGTATGTGGGGGTACTTTTGTTTGTTTTTGTTCTGTTTGTTTTGGTTTGTGAGTGGTGCTCAGGGGTTACTCCTGGCTCTGAGGGACCCAGTGCTTAGGGATCACTTCTGAGAAGGCTTGCTGGATCATATACGGTGCTGAGGATCAAACCCCGATGGGCCATGTGCAAGGCAAATGCCCTACCTGCTGTATTATTGTGGCAACCAGAGATAGGGGTCTTTTAAGGGTTTCCTATAAAAGGAAGCTCAGAAACTTTCTTTGCAACTTTTCCAGACCCCCTATGTCTCTCTTCCCTCCCATCTGAAAAGGAATTTCACAGCTCTGCTGAAACTGAAGCCCGCAATAGATGAGATGGGATGGCTGAAGGTGTCCTTCAAAGTCTGATCACTAACTGCAAGATTGGTCATGATCCAAGGACACACAATATCAAGTTTCCCAAACACTCCCTGAACCCAAAAGGTGCCCTGGGCCTTCTGAGCTGGTGGGCAATGGTAGAAGCCCGCTGCCATCTCTGGCTGGAAATCAAGTCCCTGGTCTGCTGTCATTGTGACACATTGGGCAATGTCTCGCATTCTAGCCAAAGATCATGAACAAAGTATGTTCTGGGGGTTGGAGTGATAGAACAGTGGGCAGGTTGTTTGCTTTGCATGCGGCTGGCCTGGCATCTCACATGGTTCCCCGAGCATCTCCAGGAATGATCCCTGAGTGAGGAGCCAGGAATAACCCCTGAGAACTGCTGTATATTGCTCAAAAACAAAAACCAAAGTGCATTCTAATTCCAAGCCCTACTGAGAACTCCATCTAAGCCCACCGGGTCAGTCCTGGAGACAGGGGAGCATAGGCCTTTTTAGCCATGTCTCCTGAGGTCACTGGCTATGCGAGTGGCTAGAAGAAAGTCATAATCTCCCTCAGTCCCAGTTTCTGTGTTTGTGAAAGAGGGAGAATATAATCCCCATCGCCACACTGGTAGTGAGAACTACACGAGGCAATATATGCAAAGCCCTTCGATACAGTATGATAAAAGAGTAAAGAATGAGGGACCTGAGCAGAAGTACCGCATCCCATATGGTCCCCCGAGCACCACCGGGACTAATTCCTGAGAGCAGAGCCAGGAGTACGCCCTGGGCATTGCCAGGTGTGGCCCCAAATCCAAAAGAATGAAAAGAGTAAGGAATGATTGCCATTATTGAGACCGGACCAGTAGTACAGCAGGTAGGGCGTTTGCCTTGCACATGGTCAACCCAGGTTTGATCCTGGGCATCCCATATGGTCCCCCAAGCATCACCAGGAGTAATCCCTGAGCATTGCTGGGTATGGCCCAAGACAAACAAACAAAGAAACAAAAATGATTTCCATTATTTCAATGCAAGCTTTTTAGGTAGGAACATATCCACATATTACTTTATCTCCCCGCAGCCCCTTCTCCCAGACACACACATACCACAGGATTGACCATGAGGCCTGGTGGGTGGTAAAAAACCCAACCGTCAGACCAGACAGAATGGAAAGGGCTGGAGCACACACTTTGCAAGTAAGAGGCTTGGGGTTAATCCCTGGCATCACGTGGTCCCTAGGGAGGACCCACAGGACCCAAGGAGCATGGAATAAGAAGTAGCCTCCTGAGCACTGCCAGGCATGTCCCTAAATAGCAAAAAAGAAGAGAAAAAAATCAGGATATCTGGGAAGCGAGTGACATCTCTGCTTCTTCCATTTGTTAAATCAGGGGTTTGAGCCAGATCCCTGAGTTCTCAGCATGACCCCTTCCCACCTTGACAGGTGCTCTCACATGGGACATGGGCACAGTACACCCAGAAGTGAGATCTACCAATCTAGTATGAAGTACTTGGCTGTAGGGTATGTACTATCATATCACGCCTTCCTCCCAACAAGCCCCCACCTCTGAGCAAGTCCCCACAGTAGCCCAAGAACTGCTGCACTGGATGGCTTTGAATGGTGCTTCCAGTCATGAGCCCGCAACACATGGGGCATTTGTCTTGCACATAGCTGACCCAGGTTCAGTCCCCGGCATTCCATATGGCCTCCTGAACACTGCCAGGAGTGATCTCTGAGTACAAAAGAGCCAGAATTAAATCCTGAGCACCACTAGGTGTGCCCCCCACACCCTCAGAAAAAGAAGAGTGTAAACCCAGACCCTTTAATACAACTTCCTTGGGCTGCAATCAAACAGAAGGATGAGACCCATGCCTTTGAGGAACGTGAGAATCAGGGGGAAAGCCATATGATTGCTTCCAATGCCACAAAAAAAGCAAGAATGCTCCAGAGCTGGGCAGGCTCTCAGTAGAATGGATTCAACTGACAAAGGCCAAGGGCTTGACCTTTCATAGAAAGCAACAGACTGGAAGGAGATTTAGGAGCAGAAGGAGTTCTTCTAGGTCAAGATGGGAGAAGCCGTGGATGTGAGGGTGCCTTGGCTCATCTTGATTCGGCTCATCTGGCTGGCCAGGTGGATGTCCCCATCCTCCCTCACGGCTGTGTGTCCCTCCTGAAGTGGCAGCCTTCCAGAATAGAGATGGACCCACCCCGAGCATTCTGTAGTCCAGGCTAGGGGAACAGATGCACTCCCCAACTAGAACCTCCAAGAAAATGCTCCAGAAGGGATTTTTTCCCCCAAGTCCAGGATAAAAAAAAAAGGTCACAGCCATGGAGAGGGTATCACGCTGAGTGAAGTGAGTTAGAAGGAAAGGGACAGACACAGAAGGAGTTCACTCTCATGTGGGATATAAAGATACACGATAAGGGAACAATCAAGTGCCAATGCCAACAGAACTGGAGAATTGCTCCACAGAACTAAGTTTGCAGGTTTGAGGGGATGGCGGGGGGGGGGGGGTGAAAGGGAGGGGCCTTTGGAACTTGGTGGAAGGAAGTGGACACTCTGATGGCTACAGTTGCATTGGAATGATATAGGTATGAAACCATCATTAACAGTATGGTGAAACACAGTACCTCAAAAAAGAGATTAAAAATGAAGAAGCCGCAAGATTTTGAGTCTCTATGAGGAACGCTGTGATCTATTTTGGCCTCTGACTTTTTTGGCAGGAGGTGGGTTGGGCCATACCCAGTTGATGCTCAGGGGTTACTCCTGGCTCTGTGCTCAAGGATCACTCCTAGCTAGGCTCTGGATGGGATGTTCGGAGATCCAACTTGGGTCAGCCACATGAAGAGTGCCCTAACCCCTGTACTATGGCTCCAGACCCTGGCCACCTGAAAGACAGATTGCAACAAGAGGAACTGACAGATACAAACAACAGTGGGCTTTCCAATCACTGGAGCTGTTCCTACATCATCAGAGTACCTTGCTCGGCACTCTTGTCTAGGCTTCTGAAGGTGTTTCCATAAAGGCTAGCTAAGCTTTCGATCTGACGAGAGCCTGCAGGGATCTCTGCCCAGGGCAAAAAACTGAACCAAGCAAGCATGAAGGTCCATTGGGTTCATAAAGCCTGTAAGATTTACAGGAAATTTCCAAGTTTCTAGAAAACCAAAGTTATTAGAGAAGATGAGGAGATCCAAAGCTTCTCTTCGACTGAACACCAGTGGCTGAGGCCAACTAATTTATGACCCATCCATTGTGGCTCTGGCAGAAAAAAGGAAAATCGGCTCCTCTTTCTTACGTAGCTGATAAAAATTAGCTCAGTTACATAGTGGGATAGGTATCATAAATCTATCTGAACATTTCAACAGGAGCTGGAGCGATAGTACAGCAGGAAGGATGTTTGCCTTGCATGCGGCCGACCTTCGTTCGATCCCTGGCATCCCATAAGGTCCCCTGAGCACTGTGATTCCTGAGTGCAGAGCCAGGAGTAATCCCTGAGCATCGCCAGGTGTGACCCAAAAAGCAAAATTTTAAAAAAAGCAAAACAAAAAATGGGGCCGGAATGATAGTACAGTGCGGATGGTGTTTGCCTTGCACACAGTCGACCTGGGTTTGATCCTGGGCATTCCATACAGTCCCCTGACCATAGCCAGTAGTAATTCCTGAGTATACAGAGCCAGGAGTAACCCCTGAACAGCTATAGCTGTGACCCAAAAAGGCAAAAAAATAATAAAAAAACATTTCAACAGTGTCAGGAATAAGGTTTACCTTTCTGTGTATTACAGAAAACAGAATCTACACTGACTCAATATACGTCCAGTTTTCATTCAATAAGGAGACTACAAATATGTATGTAATACTGGAGACAATTGTTGCTCCAAGGGTTAGAGAGACTGGGAGACATAGGTATTCTTCCAGAACCCCGAGATGTGCTTTTTGCTCATCTAGAAATCTACAATTGGAGTAAGCCTGAACAACACGTGTTGGAAGTGACAGTTATTGGCTTCTATTGTAGCCTGTATCTCTGATTAGAGTGTAGCACCTGACAATGCAAAGAAAAGTCCCATTTCTTCTTTGGCGTGTCTGGGATTTTTTTGCCTCAGGTTGAAAACTCTGATGCCTCCTTGGAACCCCTCAAAGCTTCATAGCACCTCCAAAGAACCTGAAGGTTTTAACTAGGAAAAAAAACCCAAAGTTATACCCACTTAGACCTGAAACTTGTCAGTTGCTCTGAGGAAGCCATTGAATTTCTTTTTAGTTTAGATGCTGGAGGTATTCCAGGAATGGCCGCCAATGCCCTATTCTTGATCCTTGAACCCGGGATTCTACAAGAAACCAATTTCACCAAAGACTAAGCTCCCTCTAGACAACCGGAAACTCACCTTGGTTTCAAGTTTCCAGACTTTCCTAAGAAACTGGGGCTGGAGGGGTTTGCTCAGGCTTTCATGCCCTCAGCTCATACCCAGAGGTCAGTGCAAACCCCTTCCATCACAATCCCAAACACAGACCTCAGGACTGCAGCAGAGGGAGACAGCGCCAAGTTTCTGTGGGTGCAGAGGCTGGCACGGAGAACACCAGATGACTGCGCATCCCCGAAAACCCAAGTCATGGTGGTCTGGGGATGAGTGTCGGCACCTCCCAGAGGCCGCAATGCCCATCCTGGCTGGCCTTACCTGCTCTTCCTTTCTTCCGCTGCTCTTCTTGCTCGGTCAGGTACTCCCCAGTCTGATACTTCCGGCTCTTCTGCCGCCTTCGTTTCTTCCTCTTCACCAGGCCATCCTCCTCCTCTTCCTCCTCCTCCTCATTGGTGTCCCACACCTGCCGGGCAGACTCTGTTCTCCAGGGCATTTCTCGGGTTCGCCACAGGTGTCTGCGGCCTTGGTTCAGGAGATTCTTGTCCTGAGCGTGGTGACTGCGATACTGGGTATCCCGCTGGGCCTTCCTCACCTTTCGGCGCTTAGCCGGAGAGGCAGTCACTGACTCATCCTCTTCAGTGGGGAAGACTTCCTGGTTTCCCACGTCACCATCTGCTACACCAGCAAAGGAGCTACAGACGCTTCCTGTGGATAAGCGGACAGAGGATGGTCAGGTATCTCATAGAAAGACCAAGTATGGGATAGAAGCAAGAGCCCTGCCATAGAAGTTTGAAGGTCTGGATTCAAGGACAGCCTGGGCCAGCTGTAAGCTCTGGGACTATTCCTTCGCTTCTATTTCCTTGACTGCTGAATTGGAGCATTGCTTTATGTCTTCCTGACCTCACAAGATGTTCTAGGACTCAAACAGGATCTTTCACCCTGGATGTGACAGTGTCTAATAGAGATCACATAACTACCACATATCAAAATCTCATGCCCAGGAGCTGGAGTGATAGTACAGTGGGTACAGTTCTTGCCTTGCACATGGCCAACCAGAGTTCAATCCCTGGCATACCCTATGCACCCTCCTACCCCGATTACCACCAGGAGTGATTCCTAAGTGCAGAGCCTTGAGCATCACTGGGTGTGGGCCTTAAACCAAAACCAAACCAAAACAAAGCCTCATGTCCTAATTCATCCCCGTTTTCTTGTCACAGGAATTCATCCCATAGACTTTTAGTGCTTATGAGGTATCAAGTATTGTAGGAGGGGCAAAGAGAGGGCCATAGTCTATTACTCTTGAGGAAATTGGATTTGATAGAGCTTGGCAAGGGAGGGTGGACTGGCATGGCACACTCCCACCTCTGCTCACCGTGTGGCAAAATCAATCTTGTCATAAGAGTTATCCTGAGCAGGGGACAGGGTGGAGTGGTGGGAGGGATGCTGGGACCATTGGTGGTGGAAAATGGGCACTGGCGGAGGATGGGTACTCGACCATTGTATGACTGAAATGTAAGTACGGAAGTTTGTAAGTCTGTAACTATACCTCACGGTGATTCACTAATTAAAAAAAAGAGTTACCCTGAATGGGGCATGCAGTAATAGTACAGAAGGCAGGTTTCTTGCCTTGCACATGGCAGACCCTGGTTTGATCCCCAACCCCCCATATGGTCCCCAGAGCACCACCAGAAGTAATTACTGAGCACAAAACCAGGAGTAACCATTGAGCTTTACCCCATCCCCCCAAAAAGAAGTTACCCTGAATAATGGAGGCCCAGAGAAGATAGTACAATGACTAGGGCATTTGTCTTACATGCAATCAACCCAAGTTCAAACCTTAGCACCTCATATGGTAATCCTGAGCCTGCCAGGCATGATCCCTGAACACAAAGCCAGGAGTAAGTCCTGAGCTTCACTGAATGTGGCCCTAAAACAAAAACAGTTATCCTGAATAAGCCCAATGGTCACTACAGAAGTGTCTGGAAAAGCCCAGCAAGAAGTTGTCCCTTCCTGTGACATGGCCTAGGTTAATCCTGCTCACAGATTCCTTAGCCAGATCCTCTTTAAAAATTTTTTTTGGTTTGGGACCACATTCAACAGTGCTCACAGGAATTACTCTTGGCGAGGTTGGGGTACTATATGAGATGCCAGGGATTGAACCCGGGTCGACCACATGCAAGGCAAGTGCCCGAACCGCTGTAGTCTGGACCCTGGATCCTCTTTCCTTATGTAGACCTCCACTTCCCAGTGAGTGGCTGAGAGTCCAGTAATGGAGCAGAATTTCTCCCCGGCACCTGCCCCCACCGAAGTTATTCTTCACCATAGAGCCAGTTCATCCCCTGCACCCTCCGCGACTCCATGGTGATGAACAGTACCTTTCCTGCCCTCCTTAGCTACCATGCCAAGAGGACACTTCCCTCCTCTCTCCTTGCAAATAGTGAAAGTATGGTCTTCTACTGGTAAAGTTTGACAACCACAGCAAGATCTGACCCTCCCTCAAGACTCCAACATCTTTCCCCCTAGGCTTGTCTATAAACTCAGTAATCCCCAAACCTAAGCAAGGACAGAAGAGGAAAGAAATGGTTCAAGGCAGAGCAGTCTTTAACCACAGCTTCAAGTCAGTTAGACTATTTAAAGACAACACACAAGGACTGGAGCAATGGCACAGTGGGTAGGGCACTTGTCACGTATGTAATCAACCTGGAGTAGATCTCTGGCACCCTATGTAGTCCCTGGACCCTGCCAGGAGTGATCCCTGAGTGTAGAGGCAGGAGTAAGCCCTAAGCATAGCCGGAGTGGACCCAAAATAAACAAGATACTAAGTACCCTTCAAACTTTCTGTTCTACAAATCAGGTGGTGGACCTAGTGCTCAAATTAATCTAATAGTCTGGTTAATTGAGTCATCAGTGGCTGGAGAAACAGTACAGCAGGTAGGGGGCTTGCCTTGCATGCAACAGACCCAGGTTCCACCTCTGGCATCCCATGGATTCTCCTAAGCCCTACCAGGAGTGATCCCTGAGAAGATAGGCAAGTACAAACCCTGAGCACAGCCCAATGTGACCCAAAAAACAAGCAAACAAAAAAATGCAATAAAAACAGCATTGCCATAGAGATAACAATGGGATCACCAACTTCCAAAGTACCGAATATAGTATAATGTAATTAACAATAACATGGGACCAGTTGTAATGTAGTCACTCTTTGATGATTCAGGGAATACTTTAGAACTTTCTGTTCATTTTGGGGCCCCACTTGAATGATGCTCAGGGCTTACTCCTGGCTCTGTGCTCAGGAATCATTTCTAGTGGACTCAGGGCACCATATGAGCTGTCTAATTACCCTGAATAAGCCCAACAGTCACCAAAGAACTCTCTGGAAAAGCCCAGCAAGAAGTTGTCCCTTCCTGTGACATGGCCTAGGTTAATCCTGCTCACAGATGCCTTAGCCAGATCCTCTTTTTAAAAAAAAATTGGTTTGGGACTACATTCAACAGTGCTCACAGGAATTACTCTTGGCGAGGTGGGGGTACTATATGAGATGCCAGGGATCGAACCCAGGTCAACTGTGTGCAAGACAAGTACCCTACTCACTGTAGAATTTTTGGACACCTGCTGGTCAGCATTACAAGCCCCCATTCCCACTGTGTCCTCTGTGTGCTAAGGAGTCAGTAGAATGTCAGTGAACTGTGCCATGTGTCTTGATGCCGATACCTACTTTGCAAGAGAATTTGGGTGAGCCTGGTCAACCACTTACAGGACAAAGAACCAACCAATATAGCAGCTCGCAGATGACAGCAGTGGTTGGAAAGGGCTATTCTATTTTAGGGGACCAAATGTGATTCTGCTGGCCCTGGTGGCTGAATGGTCATTTCCAATCTTGACGACATGTGTCACTTAAGACAAAGGCCTAAAGGTTAATTGTCTTTTCCTGAAACCGGCCCCAATAATCAAGAAAAGCCAGAGCCTGGAGCATTAACCGGTTTTCCTGAGTGCCAGAGAGGCCTTTCCACTTTTCACCATCGGCTCCCAACTAGAAATGTCATGTCCCTGTTATGAAAGGCTAATGCCACAGTCTGAAGATCACAGGCACTGCCTCTCCACTCTGGACTCTCATGTGTGGCAAGGAGCCAGGCATCACTTTTGTTTTGCTTTGGAGCCACACCCGGCAGTGCTCTGGGCTTCCTCCTAGCTCTGCGTTCAGGGATCACTCCTGGCAGGCTCAGAGGACCAGATGGGGTGCCAGGAATTGAACCTGGGTTGGCTACATGCAGGCAAGTGCCCAAACCCACTGTACTATCTCTCCCACCCTGGAATTGGGCATCTTAACCCAGAGTTATCAAGTTCTCACCTGAGACAATGGCAAAATCAATCATGCAACCAGATTTCTACCCCTTTCTGCAGAGAAGGGTCCAAGAGGGCTGTGGCCTCAGCCTCACTTACCAGACTGGCTGCGCGTCCTGGTGCTCAAAACCACGGGGATGAAGTCACGGAAACTGCTCTTTGCTTTCTTTTCCAAGGAACCTGCAGTGATGGGCGGCGTCGGGCAGAAGGCAGAAAAATACAATCAGAGTCAAAGGACAGGGAAAGCCCTCCCGGGGCAGCTCCGGTGCAAGGGAGAGTAATAAAATCAGGGCAGGCTTGGTGTTTTCTCTGGGTTAACAGCAATTAGCGCCTGTTATATGCTGCTGTCCTCTGCCCATCTCTCTTAAGAATGAGAGTTGTTTACCAGGGTAATGGGGAGGCAAGGAGAAGGCCCTGCTGCCTGCAGTTGACTAGTGACAGCTGAGCTGTCACAGGTCCCAGAGAAGGACAGCCTCAATGAGCCCCAGAGGATGGAGTGAGGCAGGAGCAGAGAACAGTGAGACGGTCTGTGAGAAGAGACTAGAAAAAGGCACACCAGATTGAACTGGGGAGGTCATGAACACTGAGACCTTGTACAGGAGCAAATTCTTCCTGGAGGGCACCCAAGGAATTCTCTGTGACAGAGCATCCAGGTTAAGGACACACATTCCCCAGCACGCTCAACTCCAACAGCCTGTGGATCCCTAAATAATCATCTGGGTGTCGGCTTCTAGCTAGCCATGTATTTGGAATCTTTTGGAATGGAACTTTTTCCTTTTTGTACTACCGAGGCTTGAACCCAGGCCTCATGAATGCCAGACATGCACTTTACCACTGAGCCACATGCAAGACCATCTAGTGGAGAGGTTTTTTTTTTCTTTTCTTTCAGATACCCAAAGAAAGGGAAATCAGGGTAATGAACTCCCAGGCTGCAGTTTTTGTCTCCGCACTCATTAAACCCGCTTCTTTTCCAAGCTTAGCCCTGCTGGAGGGTAATGAGTTGGCTGGTCTGTTGGAGGACCGACTTGAGTTTGTGGGAAATCCACCATGTTCCAGTGGGCCAGAGGGAGCAGATTAAGGCCCAGACCCCCTCTCTTCTTTGCCTTGATTTCCCCAGGGTGTCAGGGAGAGTGTCCTCCCACGGTGAAGTCTCACCTTTCGGGTCAGTCTCAGAGAGAGTCCTTCACCCCTGAAGAGTCCTCTACCCATCCCTTTGAGGATTCAGGGGGCCTACCTTCCTCGTGGCCATCAGCTCGCTTTCCCAGAGACTGGGACTCTGGCTTGGCTGGCTTCCGGTGCTTGTGCTTTACCCTGCCTCCATTGTGCTCTTTTCCTGACTCCGCAGCCCCCCTGAGGCTTTTCTTGATGGGTTCCTTCGGGTCACTAGGTGACTTCCGGCACTGTGGAGAGGCAGAGAGGATCAGATGGTGAGGGCTGTTGGAAAGGATATCTGTCCAGATGGACAGGCAGGTCCCCCGATTCTGATGCTACCATCACTGGTGGTGAGAAGGGAGTTTGCCTGTTGCCTTCCACAGCAGGCTAGAGGACTTAGGCGGGGTGGGGCTAAATTCAGTGCCCTCAGCTAACCCTCCAGAGAGAGCTACACCCCCATCATTTCTAACAGGCTCAGACAGCACTCCCAAACCAAGGAGCACCCAGTCTTTTTTGTTCCATTTTGTTTGGGGGGGGGGTCACACCCAGCAGTGCTCAGGGGTTACTCCTGGCTCTGTGCTCAGAATTACTCCTGGCGCCATGCTGGTGCCAGGTCAGCCATGTGCAAGGCAAATGCCCTACCCACTGTACTATCTCTCCGGCCCCCATACCCAGTCATTTCAAAAGGTGCTAAGCCAGACCCCATCCACTCTTGGCCAAACACCTGATGAGATGAAACTGAGATTTAAAAAAAAAAGTCTCTTCTGCAATGTGGGAGACGACATGGTTTCAATCACTTCACTGTGAATCATTCCATTTGACACCGACCACTGAAAATATGTTTGCACAGAGGCCAAATCAAGAAAAACTGTCTCTTTTCCTGTGTAAATTAATCCTGGAAAATAGATTCCACTAAGCGAGAGAAGCAGCAGCACGGCGGGCGCCATTCCAATCTCCCCCTACATGGGGAAGACGCGGGGAAGGCCCAGGCCTTATTAATAATGCCACTTTACACTCGGCAGCATTTGCAGCCTTTTGCAAAATGCTCTCCACTCGCTTACTGGATTTTTCTCCTCCAATATCCAATGGGGCGCTGCCATCCTCATCACCGAACTGGCCCTAAGAGGTTCCATGATTTGTCCAGGGCACACACGCAGCCCAAGGCAGCCACTCACCTCACAGACCACTATTTCTCAGGACAATCCTATACCTCAGTTTCTTTGGGCCTATAGGAAGGAAGAAGCAGGGCTGACTAAGCCCCAGGGGGCCAACCCAGGCTACTCCCCACCACCCTTACATCCTTTCTCTTTCTCTACTTGGATCTTCCACTGTGTTGGCTCTGCTCCACTCACATCGCTGATGCCCAGGGCATCGGAAGAGCCAAACGGCTGTGCTTACCTATGACAAGGACACCCCTCAGTCTATGGGTCACATCTTTTTAAGTTATGAGGTCTCCTGCACCCAAACAAAAAAGGGTCACGTAGGAATTTGCAGTGTTCTAGGATCCAGAAATACAAACTAACCAAAACACAGTCATAATGAAATCAGGCCTCATGAAGCAAAGAAGGAAGGATTCTCCCCACCCTCCCCATATACCACCTTCTAGAAAGTTCTCACCACTTTAGCTCCAGCTAAAAGTATGGAAAACATCTGGGGCTTCAGTGATAGTACAGTGGGTAGGGGGTTTGTCTTGCATGTGTTCAACCTGGGTTCAATCTCCAGCACCCCACATGGTCCTGTTCTCCCACTTGGCTGCTACCAAGTCCCACAAAGCAAAGTGTTTGAAGAAAGAAAAGACTTGTGGGAGGAAGATGAAAAACCATAGCTTTAAAGCAGGGGCTGGAGCAATAGTACAGCAGGTTTACTTGCCTTGCATGCAGCTGACCCCAACCCTGGTTGGACCCCCAGCATCCCATATGATGCTCTGAGCTCCACTGGGAGTAAATCCTGAGCGTAGAGCCAGGAGTAAGCCCTGAACTACTAGGCGTGGCCCCAAAACAAACAACAAAAATCTGACCTTCAAGTCTGGCCATGGGAAAACTATTTTAAGTGTGTATGGGGGGGGGGGGGCGTGGAGGGTAGATAAAGTAAAAAAGCACATCAAGTCAAATACGATTTATTTTAATTATCATTCTTTTTTTTTGGTTTTTGGGCCACATCCAGCTGTGGTCAGAGCTTACTCCTGGTTCTGCACTCAGGGGTCACTCCTGGCAGGGCTTGAGCGACTATGAAGTGCCAGGGATCCAACCCAGAGCAGCTGCGTGTAGGGCAACCAATTTACCCACTGGACCATCTCCCAAGCCCCCATAACATCATTTTAGTTGGGGTTTTCCAGTACAGATAATTAATTTTACTTCCTAACAACGATCAAAACACAGAGAATTTCTGGGGCCACAGAGATAGTACAGCAGGCAGGGTACTATTGGCATTGTAGCCAACCTAGTCCAATCCCTAGCATCCCATATGGTCCCCCGAGCCCACCAGGAAAAATTCCCGAGTACAGAGCCAGGAGTACCCTGAGCACCAACTACTGTGACCCCAAAACAAAAGAAAAAATATTCAGGGGATTTCTGCCTGTATCTCCTGCAAGGGCAGCACTGAAAGTTAGATTATATTTGCACAGTTCCACGTAAGCAAAATGTTGGGACACATCGGGGCACCACGTAAGATGAGAGTTCTAGTTACCAGGGGGTTGAAAGGTTTTCCAAATAATATATCAAAGGTTGAAAAGACAATGATGGATCTCTTGCTCACACTCTCTCTGATTGGTGGTGGAGACATGAGATGATCCTGATTTGTGGTCATGACAGGCTTTGTTTTTGTGGGGGTTTAGGTTTTTGTATTTGGAGCAGCCTCTGAGCTGGAGCAGGAGAGCGGCCTAGAGTTTTTTTAGTTCAGTTGTGAAACAGGCCAAGTCTGCAGATGTGCCTGTTGGTTCACCTTGCCTTGCTTTGCCTCGCCAACAGAAATTCCAGGGGGCTGTTTGGAATCAATCCCTGATTGAAGTCTGCTTATTAAATTATTTCTTTTTTTTTTGAGGAGGGGGGTTACACCCAGCGATGCTCAGGGATTGCTCCTGGCTCTGCACTCAGGAATTAACTCAACAGTGCTCGGGGGACCATATGGGATGCTGGGAATCAAACCCATGTCGGCTGTGTGCAAATGCCCTCCCCACTGTACTATTGCTCTGGTCCCTTATTAATGATTTCTTTCCCAGGAAAAGTGGTACTTTTTAAAAAATCATGCAAGGGGCTGGAGCAATAGCACAGCGGGTAGGGTGTTTGCCCTGCACGCGGCCAACCCAGGTTTGATTCCCAGCATCCCATATGGTCCCCTGAGCACCACCAGGAGTAATTCCTGAGTGCAGAGCCAGGAGTAACCCCTGTGCATCGCCTGGTGTGACCCAAAAAAGGAAAAAAATTATCTAAGTTATTAACTCTATCCTCCTCACCACCCTTAAAATAGACATTGCCTCAATCCTTATGGCCAGTCACTACAGGTTCCTTCAAGGCCCCTGATCCTGGAACTTTACTCTCTATTAGGAAATCCAGAAAACTCTTCATGTCATATAGGAAGAAGTAGTGCCTGCCTGCGACTAAGTCCTCTGTATGACATAAGCTGTAGGGGGGCAGGGACTAAGTGCATTTTGTTGGTTACAATGACACAAATAGGGGCTGAAGCGACAGCACAGCGGGTAGGGTGTTTGCCTTGAATGCAGCAGACCAGGGTTCGATTCCCAGCATCCCATATGGTCCCCTGAGCACCACCAGGAGTAATTCCTGAGTGCATGAGCCAGGAGTAAGCCCTGTCACATTGCTGGGTGTGACCCCCCCCAAAAAAGAAAAAGAAACAATGACACAAATAATTAATACTGAGCACTTATGTATGCCAGGGCACTGTTTTAAACATCTACGGATATTACCTGCTTGCTTAAAAAAAACAGCCCTGTTTATGTCTCTTTACTGAGATCAACTATGCAATATCCTTCTTTCAATGCTCCCTTGCTTTTAGAACAGTCACATTGAAGAGGGGGGTCCTGGGACAGGGAGGGGGCACACTGGTGATGGTGTGGTGTGGAATTATGTTATCAAAAACCATGATTGAGACTGGAGACATAGCACAGCGAATAAAGCCTTGCACCCAGCTAACTCAGGTTTGATCTTCCCTCAGGCAATGCATGTGGTCCCCTGAGCACCACTAGGAGTGATCTCTGAGCACAGAGCCAGGAGTAAAGCCTGAGCACCATCAAGTATAGTCTTCAAAATAGAGAGAGAGAACCATTATCAATAATATTGGAAACCAGAGAATCTCAATAAAAACCTTTTCTTGGTTTGGGGGCCACACCTGGTGGTGCTCAGGCCTTACTCCTAGTTTTGTGCTCAGCGAACACTCTTGGCAGGCTCAGGGGACCATCTGATTCCAGGGATGGAACCTGCTACACTATCTCCCACCCCCGCAATGAAAGTATGTTTAGGGCTGGAGCGATAATACAACAGGTAGGGCGTTTGCCTTGCAAGCAGCCAACCCGGGTTCTATTCCCAGCATCCCATATTATGCAAAGCCACATGCAAATACCATATGCAAAGCCAGGAGTAACCCCTAGGCACCGCCGGGTGTGACCCAAAAAGCAAAGATATATATATATATATATATATATATATATATATATATATAGTAATAGTCACCAAGCTATGAAAAGCATCACCACACCATCTAGTTCCTGAACTTTTGCAATACCCCAAGTGTTGTACAGCCATGAAGCAGTGTCTCCCCCTCTACTCCCCTCCACTACCTCCCCCACCCCCCACCCTCAGCAAGCTTTAGCAACGACTCAGCTACATTTTCAGTTTGCCCGTTCTGGACATGTCCCAGCATTATCTCACTGAATCTTGACGACAAGCCCAAAAGTAGGTCCTCTTACTATCTCACCATCCAAAGGAGGAAACGGAGGGCCAGAGGACTAGAGTCCCGTGACAACACCACACAGCTGCAGGTAGGGGCCAGAAGGCAAACCCAGACCCCCAAGCCTGGCTCCAGGGAGCAGAGGCCTCAGGGCCACGCCACCACCATTACCACCACTGCACACGCCCTCCTGCAGATGTTTTCCCCACTGCTGGGGCAGGGCTGGCCCAGCAGTGGCAGCTCAGCGGCAAACATTTGCTGAATGTGTGTGGTGAAACAGCTCCACATCAGCATGGGAAATCAGTGGGGCACAGCTGAAGAACATAGACCGTGGTGCTAAGGGGACCAGGCTCTATTTACCAGCTCCGGTGCCTGTGGGCGTGTTACTCAGTGCCTTTGTTCAAAAAAATAAAACTCGGTCTGGAGCCATAGTACAGCAGGTAGGGCATTTACTTTGCACGCGGCCGACCTGGGTTGGATCCCCAGCATCCCATATGGTCCCCCGAGCACCGCCAGGAGTAATTCCTGAGTGCAGAGCCAGGAGTAGCCCCTGTTTATCACAGGGTGTGACCCAAAAAGCAAAATAAATAAATAAATAAATAAATAAATAAAAACTCAAGGTGCAGTATTCACCTTGGAGGGCAATGGGAGGACCTGGACTGGGTAATGCATTTTAAAATCACTTGGTAGGGGACTGACGACTATGGGCAGTCACTGGGATGAAACGGCTGGTGAGAACGTTCATTATTACCAGCCAGGGCCGGCTGGCAGTTCTGTGAGCAGGCGCTGTTTGGGCTTTACCAGGCTCTACCTTTGTTCCAACTTGGCATGCCTGCCATCCAGAGGTAGTGCTGAGGTCACGGAGAAAACCCACCAGAAACTCTATCCCTGGGGTTCTTTGCTTTGTTTTCATTGTTATGGGGGGCCACATCCAGTACTGCTGGGGGTGGGGTGGGGGGGCAGTTCCGGAATCAAACCCAGGGTTCACAGCAACAATCCTACACTCTACCCCATGCATGACCACCCCAGCCCTAGCTCAGGATTTTTGACCCAGAGCGCAGGGGTGAGCTTTGGGGAGGGGAGTGCGGGGGTGGCCATAACCGGCATAAAATGACAGGAACACTTCTGACGTCAGATTCCAGAGCTCAGGTCTATAGCCCTCATGCATTTCTCAAATCACACTAGGATCCAAAAGAGCTGAAGAGTTTCTGGCCCCCTCAAAAAATCCACATTACTCTGGCTAGAAAACTCGGTTTCTTAGAGTGTATATATATGTATATAGTATATACATATACTATATATGTGTACGGATGTGTGTGTGTGTATACACACACACACACACACACACACACACACACACACCCAAGACCCAATGTCAAGGCTTGTGAATTTTTTTGTTTTTGCTTTTTGGGTCACACCCAGTGATGCTCAGGGGTTACTCTAGGCTCTGCACTCCAGAATTACTCCTGGCGATGGCCAGGGGACCATATGGGATGCCAGCAATCAAACCCAGATTGCCCGTGTGCAACATAAACAACCTACCCACTCTACTATCACTCCAGCCCCAAGGTTTGTGAATTTAACTGCCAATCATCCAGCCTTCAGAATAAGCCTTACCCTTCAACTTCACAAATTTCCTTGGACTGTCCATGGCCTTAGATTCCCTTCTGGAAGGCATCCTTTCAAGTCATTGGTGTGTGTGGGGTGACCCTTTTAGCCTAGAACATGCACCACTAGCCTAGACTCAGACATCTGAGCGGCCCTGTACACCAACGTCTCCAATAGACTGACACCCAAGTTACTATCCGAACCCTTGCAGGACACTCCCAAAACCAGCTCAGGCACGAGACAACTATGTGCAAACCTCGAACAGGTTCCTCGGTTTCCTCAGAACCCTCTCCCAGGTTCCTAGGTTCCCCTGAGAACAGTGGAGAAGGCAGAGGGGCTCTGCAGGGAATGACCTAAGCATACGATTCCCAAAGGGTCTCATCAGAAAATGGCAGTTTCTGGCATGAAGCAACTTGGGAGCCGCATAGCAAAGGGAAAAATGGTGTTACTGCCTGCAGGGCAAGGCACTCGGCCACCCCCCTCAACCGAAGCCCAGCAACTCACCTTGGCTGCCAGGGAAGACCGGCCAACCACCTTGATCTGCAGCGGCCGCTGCTGCTGCTCCTCGCCATCCTTCTCTTTCCCAGACTTCAGTTTCTTGGGAGGCAGAGATTCGGCTCCCCCCTCGGACACCACCGAATCTGGCTGCCACTTGGTCTTGCAAGCAAAGGTGTTGACACTTTCCTGCTTCACTCGCGCCTGTCCGGGCTTACTCCGAACTTCAGACGGACCCCGCTGGGCAGCTGCTGGGAGCCCGTCAGCCCGGCAGCAGGTGGTTAAGTTGAAGACAACGTCACCATCCACCTTCTCCATTTTCACCCGTCCCAGGTCCACCTGGCCTCCCAGTGGTGGCAGCTCTGTGCTGGAGGCCCTCCTGCTGCCGGGGACCACGTCCAAGAGGAGCTCCTTGGGGCGGCCGTCGTGAGGTAGCAAAGGCAGCTCGGGCATGGCGCGGAGGTTTTGAGGGGTGGCCAGGACCAGTTCATGGGACATGTAGGTGGCCAGCACTTGGTTCTTAGGTTTTGTGTCTCCAGCCAGCTTTGCGCCACAGGAACCCTGGGGGCCGTCCGCTTTTGGACTGCTGTTGGGTTCCTCGGGCCCTGGATTGACTCGCCTGTCCCCACTGCTAGGCTGGACGGACAGCGCCAGTGTGCCTGTCTGAGGGCTGAGAGTCAGGAGGACAGGGTTCACTTGTTCTTCGTAAGGCTTGGCAGCAATCCGGCAAGTTTTGTTCTTCGTGCCAGCATCCTGCTCTGGAGCAAAGGGGCCTCCGGGTCGTGGCTGCCCATCGGGAAGTCCATGCACAGTTTCATTGGGGCCAAGAGCCGCCACACCTGACAGCTCAGAGACAATGCCCGTGGGCCTGATGGGCACCCCCTGGGTGGGGGTCAGCTGCCCAGAACTGGAGATGCCAATGGAAAGCAGAGATGCCTGATGGTACGGGGACCAGCCAACGGGTAGGACCTGGCTGCTGGTGGCTTTGCCATTGACTGAACACCGTGGGTAAATATTCGCTGGCCCCGGGGGCTTCCACGGGGAAACGTCCTTGGTTTGGCAGCCTGGCAGCACCGGGGCAATGCGGGCTGGGGTGTAACGTTTGACTGTGCTTGGCTGTCCCTCAGTCCCAGCCTGGCCGCCCTTCTTGCCACATGGCGTCCCCGGGTTCTTCGGCTCACCTTGATCGATGATGGAGATGGGCTCCTGCTTGGGGAGATGGCGGGGATCTCGGGGGAGGCCCAAGTTGGGATCTTTGTTCAGCAGCAAGGACGCAGGCACTGGGTTGGCCACTCCCACATAGGTGCCCGGAATGGTGCTGATGAGTGCCGTGGAGTTCTTCACCCAGGTGCTTGGGTCCCCATTTCTTACAATCTCAGGGAAGATGACGAAGGGCGAGGAGGTGGGCCCCAGGCAAGAGGTGACGTTGCTGCCGGCAGCCTGGGCCGTGCGCTGAGACCTGGACAGAACGGTGGAGAGGAGGGCCTTGCTGCTGGTGTGCACAGGGGTCAGCACGGGCATGGGGGGCGTCTTGCGCTGGTTGGGCAACGGCAGCTTCTGCCGGTTAGACTTGGAGGAGAGGTCGAGGGGCAGCTCGTTGCACTCCAGTGGGGAGGCCATCTCGCGCTCCAGCTGCGGGGGCGACTTGAGGGGAGAAAAGGTGACGGAGGTCACTTCTGTCTGCTGCTCGGTTGCGCCTGGCATCTTGGTGGGATGCGACGGGGCCGAGGTCACGCTGGGCGCGGGCAGCAATGGCTGTGGAGTTGGAAGCACCTTGGCGGAAGCAGTGGTGAGGGCTGTGTTTGCCAAAGGCCCGGGGACCCCATCAGGGGCAGGCTGGGTGCTGGTACTGCTGGACGGAGATGCACAAGGAAGCCTGTTCACCTCCAGAGAGACCAGCTTAGAATCGGAAGTCAGAGGCCGGGCCACAGAAAATGCATATGGGTAAGACCGTAGCTCCGGGGAGGCCAGCACGCCAGGAAGACACCTGTCCTGCAGGTAGGATGGCAGGACAGGGAGTGTAAGAGTGGACGAGACCTCCAAGGTGGTTGGCAGTGTGGCCACACTAAGCGGCTGTCCACAGCTCGGAGGTGGGATATAGACCAGCGGCTGGCTTGGGGTCAGGACCGTCCCGGGCTGAAAGGACAGGGGGACTTTTTGCATAGCTGGTGTCTGAGCTGCAGGAAAACACACTCGACTCAAACTAAAGGAGGCCGGGATAGGTGCAGAGGTGGCAATGGCCGTCGGGGTGGCAGCCGGCATGGGCGTAGGTGCAGGAGTAAAGATTGGAGCTGGAGTCGGGGCCGGAACAGGCGTAGGAGCGAAGGCTGGGATGAGGGTGGGGGTAGAGGGGGGGCCAGAGGACGGGGCTGGGGTGGCCATCGGCACAGACGGAGGCGGAGCAGGAGCTGCCGGTGGTGTGGACGCGGCAATGGGAGCCAGAACTGGAGTGGGGACAGGCGCAAGGACCAGGGTCGGAGCTGAAGGAGGCACTGGAGCTTGGATCACAGCCAAGGGCGGAGCTGAAACAGGGACGGAGAGGGGTGTCGGGGCAGGAGCTGACAGGGTGACTGGGCCTGAGGGCGAGGCTGAAGCTGGCACAGACACCAGGACCGAGGCCGACACAGAGAGGGGGGTCGAGTCAGAGATGAGAGTGGGCACTGAGGGTGGTGCCGAAGCCAGAGCCGGCACGGGCGCCGAAGGTGGGGAAGGAGCCGTGACGGAAGGGGCAACCTGGACAGGAACGAGCCCCGAATGCGGCACGGGGCCAGGGACAGAAAGGGGGACTTGGAATGGTTCCGGAGCAGACGGGGGAGCAGAGGCCGAGCCGGGAGTAGGGGGGCAGATGGGAGGCGGCAGCGAACTGAAGTTAGTGGTAACCAGAGGCAGAGTGCCTTCCACAGGCACTCCAGTTCCCAGAGTTGCCAAAATGAAAGTATTCTTCTCCCCCACACTGTGCCGCGGGTCCAAGGCCTTTACCCCGGCTGCCGAGCCATCCGCCTGCGTGCTCATTTGGCTGCTGTGCGGAGTCCAGGAGCCGTCCGCCCCGTTAGGCGAGGGAAGCGTGAGCCCGTCGTCCAGGCTGCTCAGCGGCACCATGAGGCCCTCAGCCTCCCCTGTATTCCCAGCATAGTCCATTTGGGGCTGGGGGTCGGCAGGCTTGTCTTCAGGCTTGGGCCCAAGTTTTTCCGTCGCACTGCCATCTGGGTCCGCCCCCCGGGCATTGCTGCCACTCCCAACGGCTGTGAGCTCCACCTGCAACGACAGAGCAGTGTGCCACAACTGGGGGAGGGAAGCGGAGGTGGGGGGGGGATCAGCAATAACAAAGAACAGCAACAGCTATACCCCTGCCCGTGGGGTGTCAGACAGTATGGCTCAGCTCCACCTTCGGCAGAGTGGGGTTGCGGGGAGGGTATAGTATGTGGGCCCTGGCCCCTTACCTTGGAAAAACTGTTGCTGACACAAAACTCCTGAGATCCAAAGTGCTGGCAGTCACCTGTCGTGGACTCCTCATCAGAAAGAGGCGCTCTTCTGCCATGGGATGACAGGACCAGAAAGGGACGTGAGGCCTAGTCTTGGGACCACCAGCACATCCCCTCCCCCCCCGAGAGGGCCTTCTGCCTGCCTGGTTACCCATAAAACCTTCCTGTCTTGCTTGGCTTGGGCGGGCAAATCTACATAGGCTGGGCAGCACAGCAGAAGGGAGGAGGGAGGTCAGGCTGCAAGCTGAAGCCTGTACGGCCACCTTTGCAAATCTCTGCAAAGAAGACAGTGCAGACTAGACTCCCCACTCTGAGTCCTATATTCTTTTCCTCGGGCACATAGGCTGATACACCCCAGTGTTTCAAGGTGACCCAACAGAGGTGCCAGGCGTGGCCAGAAGGGGAGAAGTAAATCACTGGAGACCTCAAAAGGCATGCCAACTATTTTCCTCTGACAGGCCATCTGATTTTCAGTCACTAATGAAAGCTGGCTGCAGGGACTCCAAAGACAATCCTTTATAAAAATAAATAGCAACCTGCACTGTGCTCTAACTCTGAACCCCCCCGCCCCCGCCCCATACACTGGATGGGCTTACCTAGAACAGTCCATGCCTCTTAGCATTTGCAAAGATTGAATGCCACTAGATTATCTTTCCCCCATTCCTAAGTTCCAGTGTGCCCCAGCCAGCATCTCTCTCCTTTTCACATTCATCTGTGCACTCCACCATTGGAAGGTCCCCACTCTCCCCATGGACCTGCCAGCACCACATTCCCAAGGGGGCGACCCCTGAAGTCAGAAGTAAATTCAAGTTACATAGATTTACAGAGAGGCGGGCTCAAGGTGAGAGACCTGGGTATACTCAAAAGAAAACTCAACTTACAGCACCCCTGCCACTTGCTTGAAAAATTGTCTGGAGATTTGGGGAGAGCAAATTTTAAAACGGACTTATCGGGGCTGGAGCAATAGCACAGTGGGTAGGGCGTTTGCCTTGCACGCGGCCGACCCGGGCATCCCATATGGTCTCCCAAGCCCTGCCAGGATAATTTCTGAGTGCATGAGCCAGGAGTAACCTCTGCATTGCTGAGTGTGACCCAAAAAGCAAAGAAAAAAATAGACTTATCTTGGGATCACAGTAATAGTACAGCGGGTCAGGCATTTGCCGTGCATGTACCCCCCGACTCACCTAGGGTCCCCCAAGGGTCCCACCAGGAGTGATCCCTGAGCTCAGAGCAGGAAGCAAGCCCTGAATACTGCTGGGTGTAGCCACGAAACAAACAAAAAATAATATATCCTGACCACCTCCCCCCACTCCCAGTCAAAATAAGTCAGACCAGGAGAGTGAAGTTCCAAGAAGACAAACCCATCAGAACTTGGGCTGGAGATAAAACATAGGAGTTAGGGTGTTTGCAATTCAACCCAGCATTGCATAGGTTCCTTGAGCACAGAGTAAGCCCTTAGTACCATCAGGTGCGGCCCCAACCCCAAAATAAATAAGCACATAAGCTTCAGGGGCTGAAGCAATAGTATAGCAATAGTATAGTGCATAAGGTGCTTGCCTTGCATGCGGTCAACCTGGGACTGATCTCCAGTATCCCCTAGGATTCCCCCAAGCACTGTCAGGAGTAATACCTGAGTACAGAGCCAGGAATAAGCGCTGAGCATAGTCAGGTATGCACCCACCAAAAATAAAATAAAGCAGAACAGTCATACAGGGTTTTTTATGGGGGGTGGTGGTGTCAAGACAAAGCAGAGCCATACCATGGTCTGTATAATTAGGGGAGGTGGACCACCTTCAGGTTTGCTCCCCTGCTCTGCAGCATCGCCCTGAGCACAGTGAGAGCCCTAGAAACAGCCTGCTCCTCCCTCAGCAATCATCGCAACCAAAGAGCGATCAGAGGACCTGGAGCTGTGTCCCAACACAAGCAGGGAAAGGCCCTACTATCTCCCTCCTCTCGGTGGACAAGCAACTGTATGGGAGTCAAGAGAAGCCAAAAATAAGATCAAGGAGAGTATCATGGGTTTCTGTCCATGTTCTCAGGGCTCTGGAAGGAGCTTCACTGAGACGGAAAGGCTGATAGCCTATGAACGAGAGCTGGGGTGGTGACAGGGGAAGATGGCTGAAAGGAATACATGATCTGCATGTGGGAGCCCTGGGTTCTAGCCCAGCAATACGGGGTTCCCCAAAGCAGAAGTGTGAGTGTTCCAGTCTTAGAAATGGCAAATAATGGCTAAAGAAGGCAAGGGCTAAGGACTGGAGACACAGGACAGGGGTTTAGGTGCTTGCCTTAAACACGGTCAGCCAGAATTGATGCCTCCTGCATCCCATAAGGCCCCCAAAGACCACCAGAAATGATCCCTGAATGCAGAGGCATAAGTAAGTAAGAACTTGAAAAGGGAGCTTTTTCAGATCTTACTGGGTCCTGACTGTATGACATGCCCCAGGCTCCTTATAAGACTTGCCCTGCTTTGATTCCCACTCTAATCTAAGACTGTCTTCCCCAAACACCATAGGGGAAATTTCAACTCCCACCTCAAACTCCTACAAATCCCTCAAAGTCCCAGCCAAAATGTCACTACCTTTGGGAAGTCTTCTTTGGGAAAGTTTGTTCTTCGCAGTTAATTCCCAAAGACGTGTGAATGCGACTCTCTTCAAAATTCCCAAGTCCCCTATTAAATTTATTCTGAATGAATAAATGAATGAATGGGTGAAAGAAAGCCTCTTGGGGCCAGCAGAAAGCTTTTGCCCCTTCTCCTACTATCCTCAATAAACTGATAATTCAAGTTGGCTGCTCAAAAGTAACTTCAGAGGGGCCAGAGCAATAGAACAGCAGGTAGGGTTCTTGCCTTACTTGCAGCTGACCTGGGTTAGATCCCCAGCATCCCATATAGTCCTCCAAGAACCGCTAGGAATAATTCCTGAGTGCAGAGCCAGGAGTAGCCAGGTGTAGCCCCAAAACTAAAAAAAAGTTAACTTTAAGAGTTAGATTCCTGCCTGGTTTGTGCAGCTTTTGATCCACAATTTCTAAATTCTACCAATTACAAAAGAGCCAAGAAGATGGTTTTAAATAAGGTGAGATTACTTTTTGGAAATCAACAGTAGCACAGAGTATAGAAGAAAGGCAACAATAAAGAACAGATCAGATCCGAAGTGACAGTGCTTAAAAGGTCATCCTGACCGCTCGGCATATTTGGTAATTTAACATCCCAAGAAAGGCCCATAAAGAGGGAAAATCATGTTCCAGACCCATTTCCTGTTCCTTTCTCAGCAGGCATTTACAATGGACAGTGAACCAAGATAACTTCAACCATTGATTTTTAGGTGGGGGGGGGGGGGGGCTCTAACCCACCTCTATGAAAGCCTCAACTACTTATAACTAGTTGCTAGTGAATTCTTCTTACATCGATCAATACCACCAGCCTGCCTTCTCCAGCTCATTGCTCAATAATTACCTAATAGCACAAATGCAAAGGGAGACACCTTTCTTCAGCAGCTTCTGAATGGAACTTTATTTTCCTTGGTCCTGACTTTTATATTCCGAAATTAAATTCCTTTTAAGTCCTTCTTCAACTCATTCCCCAGCATAGAGAACATTAAGCTATTACCCTAATGGTTTAAAAAAAAAAATAAAAAGGTCTGTTCTAACACCATGAAAGGAACTTAGGCCAACAGAGTTCTCCAGCGAGAGACAAAGCAGATAAACAGCTATCCTATTCATCTCCCTTTCAAAATAATCACAATTACCAATTCAACTCAACCTGCGTATCTGCCCGTCCCTTGCAAAATTTACCCAAGGAAACACCAGATCCCAAGTCCAAGGGAAAACCCCACTGTTCTGTGTTGTAGGGGATTGATCAGATATGTCTGGATTTAAACAGTCCATGGACTGAAAAGCAGCTACCCCCACCCAGCAAGTAGGGGGGACTCAGACCTTCCCTCAAAATTGAAGCGGTTTTGCAACATTTAAACACATAGCTCTTTTGCCAAGGGTTATGAGCGGCAAATATAAAATCTGAAGGACACTTTGTGTGCCCTTAGGATAGGGTATGATCAAGAAAGGGTCTAAGCTTGAGAAGCCACATGCTTCAGAAAGCAGAAAATTAAGAACAGAACATACAGGTCTCACCAACTGTCCTGATAATGACAGCATGAAGCAGTGTGGATCTCACTTTGGTATGTGTGTGGGTTTTTTTTCCTTTTATCCTCAGTACTTTGGTACTGAACACCTGGCAGTGCTCAGGGGTTACTCTTGGCTCTGCACTCAGGAATTACTCCTGGCAATGCTTGGAGGACCATATGGGATGTCAGGGATTGAACCCGGTTGGCCACGTGCAAGGCAAGCACCTGACTCGCGCTGGCCCCTCTTCGGTACTTCTTAAGAGAATTCGCTGCACATCATTAGCCTCATGAGGCAGTAAAGCACTGATCACCGGAATACCCACTAACTATTCCCACAAAGCTGAACGAATGATAACCAAACTTCTCTTATCCAGGCTCCTGAATAACCAACTTGCAGGCAACAAATACCAACTGCAAATGCCTGAGCCCATCGTGACTCCCTATGAATGACAGGACAAATCTTAGTTGGACCATTTGAACAGGGACACTGTAGCTGAGTGGACCATTCACCTGGTTTCCTGTCACCCCACCCTAGCCCCCTGAAAAGCGACAAGCCACCATGAGTCTCTCCACCCACCCCCCAGGCGCTACTGGGATACTCCTGCTTAGTGGGTGCCACTGCCTTACCTCTCCTCGTTGATGCCACACATGCGAATCCGGTCAGAGCTGGTCCAGTTGTGCACGCCGCTGCCGTAGAGCGGGGCTGTAGAGATCATGACAGCCACTCAGCACCTGATAGGATCTGCTGTGGCCACTCCCCCTGAGGAAAAAGAACCCCCCCGCAAAAACAAAAACCAAAAATCAGAACTCATAACAGGGACATCTGCTCGAGTCACCTTTGGGCCCAGAAACATTTCAATCAAGGGAATTAGGGTGCCTATAGGTACCTAGCAGTCTCTTTCACAAGTCGGCCTGCTGGGGAAAATTAAGGTCCAAATGGGGATGGGAGAGCACCAGCTTTCCAGGAATCCACAGGTTTCTGGATGATAAGGAAGATGCTGTTAATCACCTAGCGTGATTTTGAAAAAGATCTTAAAGACAGATGGGCTTGCACGTTTGAGGGAATTCCATCTATTTCAGACAAATGAGATGACAGTATATTTTGCTCCCCACATTAGCTTAAGCAACTGCAATGAGACGGTTGATCCCCTGAATGAACAGCGCAGTGAAAGACGGCAGGGGATCTTCTGCTCATATGGAAGTCTTTGAGTGACACAGCCAACTGAAGCTCTCCAGAGGAAGCACATGCTTTATAGGCCGTCGGGGGAAAAAAAAAACACTCTCGTTCCCATTTCAAATTGGGAGATACTGCTTATCACACGTGCATCTAAACTGGTTTAAAGCTCCGTCTAAGTCAGATGCAATACTCCGAGTGCCCTGGCCACACGCACACAGACATCAAGTCATGTTCCATCAAGAACCTCATCTCTGTCTTTGTCCCTTCCAATCAGTCTGTCATCCCCGTGATCCACTACCCCTGTCTCCATCCAGCATTCAGTTCTCACAATTGCCAACCAACGCACAAAAGATCCACTTTCTAGAACAAAGGAGGCATCACAAAAAAGAGGTTTTGGGGGCTGGAGCTATAACACAGCAGGTAGGGCGTTTGCCTCACACATGGCCGACCCGGGTTTGATTCCCAGCATCCCATATGGTCCCCCAGCACCGTCAGGAGTAATTCCTGAGTGCAGAGCCAGGAATAGCCCCTGAGCATCGCTGGGTGTGACCCAAAAAGAAAAAGAAAGAAAGAAAGAAAGAAAGAAAGAAAGAAAGAAAGAAAGAAAGAAAGAAAGAAAAGAAAGAAAAGAAAAAGAGGTTTAGGAGCCAAAGCGATACTATGTCAGGTAGGGCACCTGCCTTGCATGTGGCTGATGTGGATTCTATTATCTCCAGGACCCCATATAGTCCCGAGCCCACAGGAGTGATCCATGAGAGCAAAGCTAGAAGTAAGACCTGAGCACAGCTGAGAGTGGCCCAAATACACACACAGAGAGACACACACACCCAGTGGCTTATTCAATAGGCTTGGGTTAATTTATTAGCTAAAATCCTGCTGGTGGAGCACCACCAAGCAGGAATATTCCCCAATTTAAAAGAATAAATAGTGAAAAGAGCCATAGAGGTATAGCACAGGGGTTCAGGTGCTTGCCTTGTACATGACTGACCCCGGTTGGACCCTGGCACTGAATATGGTTCTCCGAGCCCTGCAAGGAGTGATCTCTGAGCACAGAGCCAGGAGAAGGGCTCTGAGCTCAGCTGGGTAATGGCCCCCAAACCAGAAAATAAAAAAAGTGAAAATTCCCCTCAAAGCTCAACTAACAGAACCGTACGGTGATCAACTTCCCAAAGTAAATCACCGTGAGAGGTTGTCACATGAGGGATTTGTTTTAGTTATCCTTTACGCAATTTTCAGAAACTGTCTACAGTCAACACAGGGTCACTTACTCACTCAACAAATATATATTGAGTCCAAAACGTACCTCAATGGTAAAGTGCATGCCTGTAATAAGGCTATGGGCTTGATTGAATCCTTACACCTCCCTCGCCCCCAGAAAAGTTAAACCAATATATCTTGAGCTCCAATTATATTACGACCCTAGGTACTGAGAATTTAATAACTAACAAGGTCCGCCCCAAATCCCTGCCTTCACTGACCTTATATTCTAATGGTATAAGACAGATAATAAATATGTGAAAAATTCAACGTTGGACCAGAGAGTAATACAGAGGCTAGGGCACTTTCCTTGCCTGCAGCCAACCCGGGTTCAATCCCCAGAACCACATGTGATCCTCCTAGCCCAGGCAGAACTGATTCCTAGGCACAGAGCCGGGCGGAGTCCTGAGCACCACCAGGTATTCCCTAATCCCCCCCCCCCCAGTTTTCAATGTTCTAATGTGTTAGGTGGTATAACACAGATATAGCACAGGCTGCTGAAGGCACATAAAGTGGAATGGGCTCAAATTTGAGACTGATCTAGTTAGAGAGGAGCTACCACCCGTAGAAAGAAAAGGGGTTAGCTTGGTGGCTGGGGTGAGCATGCCAGGAGGAAGGAAAAACTGATGCAATGGACCTAAGGCTGGAAGCTTCCTAATAAGATCAAGGAGTCACGAGAAAGGGCCGGGGGGGGGGGGAAGAGGGTGAGAGAGGGAGAGAGAAGGAGAGGGAGAGGAGGGCCAGGGAGAGATGGGAGAGAGAAAGAGAGGAAGGGAGGGAGAGAGAAGAGGGAGAAAGGGAGGGGGGCTGAGTTAGTAAAATAGATTGGGGGGCTTATTTTGCATATGGCTGGCCTGGGTTTGATCCCCAACATCCTAAATGGTTTTCTGAGCCCCATCATGAGTGATTTCTTTTCTTTTCTTCTTCTTTTTTTTTTTGGTTTTTGGGTGACACTTGGCAATGTACAGGGGTTACTACTGGCTTTGCACTCAGGAATTACTCCTGGCGGTGCTTGGGGGACTCAAACCCGGGTCGGCCACATGCAAGGCAAATGCCCTACCCGCTGTGCTATCGCTTCAGCCCCCAGGAGTGATTTCTGAATGCGGAGCCAAGAGTGACTCCTGTGAATCACTGGGTATGGCCCAAAAAACAAACAAACAAAAATACAGGGTGGGGCTAGGGAACTAGTACAGTGGGCAAGGCATGCACCTTGCACAGGGCTGGCTGGGGTTTGAGCCTTGGCATCCCATATGATCCCTGAGCACTGGCGTATCGCTGGGTTTGGCCCAGAAACCAAAAAAATTAAAAAAAAAACACCAAAAACAAAGAAGAGAGGGGCTGGGGAGCTAGTACAGCAGGCAGGGCATTTGCCTTTACGTGTGACTGACCCGGGTTCAATCCCCAGCTTGCCATATGGTCCCCGAGGCACCACTAGGAGTTAATTCCTGTCTGCAGAACCAGGAGTAAGCCCTGAGCATTGCTGGGTGTGCTCACTTAGATAGATAGATAGATAGATAGATAGATAGATAGATAGATAGACAGTCAGATAGAGAGACAGAGACAGAGAGACAGAGAGCACATGCACAGTGGTCCCTGCTTATGGTTCACCAAGCCCTGCCAGGAGTGCTGCAAACACACCTCCACCAAACACACACACACACACACACACACACACACACACACACACACACAAAAGCTCAAGACTGGTCCAGCATAAGTAAAGGGGTAAAGCAGTGAGAGGGGTGCAGTCTTAGTCCCCTCTCTGCAGACTATTATCTTTCTAGATACTGCTGCTGACCCAGCCCATTTGTACCTACTGCCTTTCCTGCCACACTGCCCATAAGTCACTTGGAGGGTCTCTCCCTACACCCTTCCTGCAGGAAACCTGCCCCCCCTTTACTCAGTATCTCTTCCCCGCTGCCACCCTTCTGCCATCTCATCTCCTTCTCTCCATCTCCTTCTTTCCCTTCCTACCATCACTCTCCCTTTCCCTTCCTACCCTCCCAACTTCAATTCCTATCACCTCCCCCTTCACCCCAACTCTTGTCACTCTCTTCCCCTCTTCCTTCCATCCCACCTTTGCATCTGCACAGTGCTAGCTTCCTCCACTGCCTCCCTTTCTCACACCTTCTGAGTCCCTCGCCTTCCCTTCTCCCCCCTTCCTTGTTGCCCCTCCCCTCTGTGCCCTTCCGCTTCATCCAAGCTTCTATCTTCAGGCTCCCTTCTCCTGTCTTTCTGTCCATGCCCCCCTTCTCTGTCGAGTGCAGTCTAGCTCTCTTGCACCCCCACTTCTCCCCCTGTGTAAATACCACCCCCTCCCCCACCCTCCGTTCAGCTCTGAGATCCCAGCTTCAACACTCCACCTCTGGTGTCTCCCCGAACTGTTATCTCTAGCCCTGACCTCTCTCCTTCGACCCGGACCTGAATTTTCCAGCTGCCAGCGACTTGCCGTTAATTGGATGTCCACCAAGCCCCTCAAATTCCCTGTCTCAAACCGAACTCATTATCTGTTCCCATAAACCGATGCTCCATTCCCACCCCACTCCCCTCCACCAGCGGGGTTTCCAATCTTACTGAACAGCACCATATCCCCAAGCCTGGAAATTTCAGTGTCTTCAACTCCTTCTCTCCCCCTACCACCCACATCCAATCAGGAGCTGCGCCTTAATAATGCCATCTCCGTCCTCTCTTCTCCCACCCACCCCCCTTTGCCAGGATCTGATGCAGGCCCTCATCATCTCTCTCCCAGAATATTACAATAGCCTCTTAACTGGTCCCTCTGCCTCCCATCTCTTGATTCCACAATCAATTCCTCTTCTAAAGCACTGGTTCGATCATGTCAAGCCCACCCCTCCTTTTTCCCCTCAACCGCCTTCAATAGCTTGCCTCCGGCTTCAGAATCAAGCCCACATTTCTTAGTAGCACAACCCAGGCCCTCCAGGAACAGGCTTGAATGACCTCTCTGAGGTCCTCTCCTGCCAGCTCATGCCACTGACCTGCCACCCCTCGCCAAACCGGCTCCTGACCCTTCCCTCAACAGATCAGCCAGTTTCTGGATTTGGCTGTTTCCCTGTCCCAAAGGGGCCCTTCTGTCTCCCCTCTTCCTTACTCAATGACTTTTCAGAGCTGAAATGTCTGCAGGACTTCTCTCCAGCCTCTCTGGTTTCCCCCCAACAGTTCATCCCTGCCTCTACCACAGCGCCAAGCCTGGTTCTCTAGGACTGTCTAGGCGTGCAGCATGGCTGTCTTCCCCATCAATTGGCGACTGAGCTTAAGATATGGCTCTGAGCACCAGCAAGGCAGCCTTAGTAGACCCCAACACCTAA